CAGATACGAAAGAATAAATTTCAAAATGAATGCAATAAATTGAGAGGAAAAATTTAACTGATGAATTTGCGGATAAATGTCGAAATTTAATAAGTTAGAATGCATGTATTTATAATAATAATAATAATAACAACAATGACAATGATAATAATAGTAATGTTAATAATAATAATAATAATTAATAATAATAATTAATAATAATAATAATTAATAATAATAATAAATAATAATAATAATAATTTTATTAGAATGTAAAAAACTTTCATCCAATTTACAATACGTAATAATTATAATATATGTATTTATACAAAGAAAATATCTAAAGTAATTCAATAATTTAATAATGGAATAATAATAATTACCATAATTATTATGCGATCGTTCAATAAATTTAATCGCATGCATTCGAAATAAAATAAATTTTGTTTGATCATTCATTAAATTATAGTCATTTTAAGCAATTAATTAAAAGCTTACTTTTAATTTTAAATTTTGTTACATAATTCTATTTAATGATTAGATTTAAATATTCAAATATTTTAATATTAGAGGAGGATGACAAATTTGGAGGTATTCAACTGCATCCTAAAAATCTGACCATTGTCTACTATTGGTCATTCATATTAAATTAAATAGGACAGTCTAAAATATTTCCTAATATTATTTGCATCTATTGTAGAAGTATTTTGGCTCATATGCATAAAATTTATCCGTCAATGTTATAAAATAATTATAAATTAATTTCTAATTTCAGGTTATCTTTATCTTTTATTTTACCACAATGACCTCAATTTAGTCTAACTAACTTATTTTGTATAATAATTTTTTTCTCAAATTCAATTGTAGTATGATTGAATTATAATTACGAATTATAATCTTGTTGAATGTAATTATGATACGATTGAAATATGCAATGAATTAAGTTGAAATTAATTTTCAATTTAAATAGATTCATTTCAATCAAATAATAATTAATAATTTTCAGCGATAACATGCTAATGATTGCTAAGAAATCGTTGCTAATACAAAGATACTTTTAATTGTTTTAAAATGGGAATATTGATACAGTGATTTGATTTGTGTAATATGATATCGCTTTAATGTGTCTGAAATATTTTCGCTACGTTCCATGGGCTTCATTATTTGCCCTTATCATTACCATTGTTGGCTCTGTTATGTTTATCATTCTTTTCGATAATGCCTTAAAAGGATTTGCTGGACAAGTTTGTAATTTTAAAAGTTTCATTTTAAAGATATAATGTTTTTTTATTAAACCTTTTTTTCACAGAACTTCAATAGACATTTTTTTTTTTTGAATTCAGGTTGATTAATTAAATTAATTAGTTTTTATAATTTCTTAAAAGCTTTCCCTTAAAATTTTACTTTATGCGACAATTTAATTCTTTTGTTTTCCGCCATAAAAATATCCATTAAATTAGCTGATTTATTAATTAAATTAGCAAAAAATTAAAATTTAATTATCGTCTTATTTTCTTAAAATTTTATTTCCACATTTTTTACATTTAATTTAAAAATTTAAAATTATTTTGAATAGAATAGAGGATTTTTAAATAATTATTAATTCTTTGCATTCCCTGACAAATTCATGAATAATTGACAGTTTCCATTTGAGTGTTTATTTATAATTGTTTTCAATAATATAAACTGAGAGTTTTAAATATTCTGCGGTCAGTTTTATAAATGCTAGGAGAAATAGTTAATATAAATGAATTCAAATATAATATGAATGACCTGAGGCAAGAAGGCTTATTTCTCGTCTGTAATACGTAAACAAATTAAATTTAATTCAAATGAAGTAACTTAATTAACAGTTCATTTCCAACCAACCTATTTTCTTGCCTAAAATATGTAAACATAATAGAATTTCAGATTCTGTAACCTATGATAAGATTTAATTTTTTAATTTAAAATATATGAATTAATTATAATTTAAATAATAATAGTAATAATAATAATAATAACAGCAATCATTATAGTAACAATAGCAATCATATTTTTACATATAAAATAATTATTTACAGCTTAATGTATTAGTACCAGTGGGTACATTTTTGAAATTTCGATGGCTTCTTATCGGTGTAACATTATGTATTATCCTTATCGCTATTGGATTCTTATTTGTTGGTGCAGCCGCTACATCCGGTATTTTTGTCTTTTAATCAATAAATTTAAAATGTAATAACAATTTCAATTTTAGAAATAACAATAGTTTAAAATTTGTGAAACTTTTAATTAATGTATAATCAATTTCAAACATATTTTTATTGATGAAAAATAAGAATTTCCCGTTACATCCGGTATTTTTGCTTCAATCAATAAATCTAAAATGTAATAACAATTTCATTAATAAGTTTAGAAATTACACTTAGCTTTAAATATTGGAATTTTAAATTAATATATAATCAATAACAAGCATATTTTTATTGATGAAAAATAAGAATTTTAATTAGTCATTTTATTAGTCATAATATATCGAATTTCAATGAGTCATTTTAAAATGAAATTATCTTTATTTTGTATTTTAATAGCAATACAAAATTGAATATTTCAAAACTTAGCAAATTTCTAAAGGAACCATTGTTTTTTCTTTAATTTTATTGTTAATTCAAAAAAAAAAATATTAAAATATCTGAAATTAAAAATTCAATTGGATAAAGATAAAATAGAATTTAGTGGTTGTGATAAAATTTATTGTCTAAACATTAATTTAATTATCATAAAAAATTAGGGACTATTTATTTTTGCCAATATTGAGTATTGTACTATTTATTTTGGCCAATATTGAATATTGCACTACTTACTATGGCCAATATTGAATATTGCACTACTTACTATGGCCAATATTGAATATTGCACTACTATGGCCAATATTGAATATTGCACTACTTACTATGGCCAATATTGAGTATTGCACTACTTACTATGGCCAATATTGAATATTGCACTACTTACTATGGCCAATATTGAATATTGCACTACTTACTATGGCCAATATTGAATATTGCACTACTTACTATGGCCAATATTGAGTATTGCACTATTTACTTTGGCCAATATTGAGTATTGCACTATTTATTTTGGCCAATATTGAGTATTGCAGTTTTCCAGTCTATGATTACACTATTTCTGTATACTATTTTCTATGATTACATTATTTTTCTATACTATTTTCTATGATTACATTATTTTTGTATACTATTTTCTACGATTACACTATTTTTATATATGATTACACTATTTTTGCATATTTTTTAGTCTGTGATTACACTATTTTTGTATATTTTTTAGTCTATAATTACACTATTTTTGTATACTCTTTTTGTATACTGAATTTAAGAATTTGATTTAGTTACAAAAAAATTATAATTAGCCTTTCAAACATTAATCTTTGTCTTCTATAATTTCGAATTCATATCATATTTTATTGCTTCATATTTAGCTAAACCGGATAACGATGATCTTTTCCTTATCGATTCTCTGTTATGATCTGATCTTTTCTTTATCGATTTTTTGAAATGATCCATTTTTTTTTGTTATAGGTTATAAAGAACAACAAAAAATTAATTGAGAGGGGAAGATGACCTTTATTGATATGACCTTGACCTCGATATTAATAAGAAACAAATGATACCTCTTTTTCTTTTGCTATTGCTATTTGTTGAACTTTGATCCATTTACTGCACTTCGTTATATTTTTGTCACATATTGTTTGAAATGTTGAAAGATTTATTGTACAACAATTTCTAGAATGAGCATTTTCTGCATTTCATCTTAACCGACTATTTTTAACAATTAATTTAATAATTTTCATGATAATTAATTTAGTAATTTCAATAATTAATTTAGTTATTTTAACAATTATTTTAGTGATTTTATAATAATTAATTTAGTAATTTTGTGATAATTAGTTTAACAATTTTAATAATTAAGTAATTAAAGCATAATTAGTAATTTCGACAACTAATTTAATAATTTTTAAATACTTCTTGTAAGCAATTTATTTGGCCTTAAATATACTATTACTAATACATGTTCCCTTTAAATCATAGATTTGAATTTAAAACAACTGGAAATACTTTAAATGTGCTTTTTCTTAAAAAATTTCCTTCATTAAAATTAATTAATAATGTAATAAATTATTAGTAAAAATAAAAACAAAAAGGAATAAAGGGGTAAAGAAATTCTTTTACTATTAAAATTAACGAAGTTTGACAGATCAAAAAAAAGGTGATTTAATAGAAATTATCATTGATAATATCAAATAATCAATGATATGAAATTTAGGAGAAATTTTTCAAAAATAAAAACAAAAAAAATTTCTTATCAAAAAATGACAAATTTTAAATTTTCAGTATCAGTTCGTTATCATACAAGAAGAGATATACCAGATAAACGATCATTTCTTATTCGAGCAATTACATCACCATGTATTCTTGGCTTATTATCATTGGTACTCAGTATTTTAGGTTACATTTCATTCTTAAATTATTTAATTTAATTTAAATCATTTACCTTTTATTTCTAATTTTGCTTTTCCTACTCATTTTCGATTAGATAATTAATTCATTTCTATATTTGAAATAATTTTAACTATGAGATTTTTCTTTCTTTATCATTAATCATACGTAACGTAAAACGTGAAAAATGTCATAAAAAGAAAAAAGAAAATTTGAAGAATTATGGTACCATAATATTCATGGTACTCTAATATTTAAAATTATTCATTCATAAAATGTTTGTAGTAATATTTTGGTGTGTAATTGTATCAATTAGTGCCGTATTTGCGTCATTTTATATCGTATTTATTACCTCGATATACTCATTTTGTAATATGGTCGATAATCAATGCTTTGATTTCACCGTTTTACTACCAGCTATTATCAATCAAATTAGCAATAAGGTAAAAGTATTTTTCGTTAGCATTTGAGATATAAGTAAATACACAATGATTTAGGCTAATAATTAAAATTTCAAATTAAGATTTATTTTTTTCAATTGATGGTTAAAATTATTATTAATAATAATGAAATTAATACCAATAAATTAATAATAATAATAATAAAAGTAATAATAAATGAATAAATAGATAAATAAATAAATAATTACCATAAATTATTATGGTAATGTATTATAATAATTTATAATAATAATAATTTATCGTAATAATAATAATGATACTGTAATTTCTTTTAATCTTCTTTTTTCTTTTTTTTAAAATTATCATATTTCTTAATTTTAAAATGTGAAGAAAAAAATTACGGTATTATTAATTTTTTAATCGTTAAGTGATTTGAATCGTTAATTATCAGCCTAATTCAATTGTTTATTTATTTATGATATGTGATAAAATTTTATTTCATTTAACATATCTGTTGAAATATTTTTCATATCATTAGAAATAATTAGCAACTTTTCATTATAATTAATATGTTAATACAAACATTAATTAATGGCATTTAATTAATTGGCTTAATTATTAAACAAAACAAAGATTAATATACTTTTTAAATCGAATTATTGGAAATTTAAATATGCTTGAATTGATATAATATATAAGTTTTTTTAATTTTATTAATTATAGAAAGTGGATTTGAAATTTTGCAAAGACAAAAAGGAAGCATTATGCGCGATGGAGAATAATCAATTTTGGTCATTTATTGGTGCTTTATCATTTTGCTTTCTTACTCTTACTGGATTAGTATATTTTCTAATGTGCATGAGTGCTAATTACACTCGGTTTGTTTTATTAATTACAGAATTGAAAATTCTCTTAACTTAATTAATTGTAATTATTTTTGATTTAAAAATTTTAATTTAAACGAGGACTAGTTGTTTTTTTTTGAAGATCTATATTTTACAAACCTATAAGATCGGTAAAATTTTCCTTAACATCACATTAAAGAAGGTATAAATTGGAATAGCTTTATTTGTTTAAATGTGAATTTAATAATTAAACGTGAATTTAAAAAAAAAAATGGGATGAATTTAGGATTCGTTCAGAAAGACGAGCATATAAAGGTGAACATTTGGCGATGAATCAGGGTACCGTTGATTCCAATTCATTCATTCTTACAAATATGGGCAAATAAATTCGTCAAAAATTTCCTATCATTCGATCTATTTCATTAAAAGGATTAATAAATAGATGTGATAATACCTTATTAATTGATGCTTATTGTTTTATAATTAAAATTGATTGTTTTTTTTTCACTTTCAAATGCTTCTACATTTAATATGATACAGTAAGATATCAATGAATAATTTGATAATGATAATAAAATTTCAGTATTTTCATGAACATTAGAGCAAACATTAAATTACTGTATGATTTGAATGATAATGGAAAATGCTAATCGAAAAGATTTATGAATGCATCCATCTGTATGATCTGATAAAGATACGAAAATCGGGAAAAAAAATGGACACAAATCCGTAATTTAGAATTTGGCATCCATACGTGGCCATAATATATTGCTGCGATGAAAGATACAGTATACTGCGATTACTGGTAAATGTCGTCTAATCAATAAGTAGTGTCCTGGGAAATGATACATTTAGCTAAGCTTAAAATACGCAGAGTATGTGAAAGCAGATAAGTAAGATACGTGATCGTATCACAGAACAATTGTCCTATTTTAGCATCTCTCCGCAACATATAAGTTGTTTCACGTATTTTGCGTTATCGTTGACTGTCATATTTTCGAGTTACATCTCACTCTATGCAAATTTCTATACTATTTCCAATTGTTAGTCTCAGTTATGTGTAGCATGTTGTAGCATAAGAACTATTGATGAACCAACTTTATTATATCTTTCTAATTAATTTTACCGCAGGAAATTTTTCCTATAGCAAAAAAACCAATAGCTTCGCAGAAAATTATGCTAATGCCTGATGGAATTGCGCTGCATCTTGTGATCTGTTTCAAAGACAGAATTACTGACTATTTAAATCTTTTTTTTGCCGGCTGAGTGTCGGCTTAGCATCACGAGAGTGAGAGAGGGGACATCTTGTAGTGTTCGTGCGTGGGTTTTTCCCTTCGTTCTCTTATATTGGCATATGAGTGATGTCTTTACACGAGAAGTATTTAGACGTAATTTACGTAAAATTTAACGTTATCTATTTTAAAATAAGTAGCGCTGCACAGCAGAATATGAATTCTGTAAATCGATAACACGGATGGACTCATGAATTTCCATTTATACTGATTGGAAATTACACCTAATCGGAATGGATTCGTTACTTGCAAATTAATTCTACATGAATTTCAACAGTATTAACTAATTTGCAGATCTCCTAGATTTCTTGAAGAATAGTATGGAAACTTTTCAACAGTAAACGTAATTTGCTTTTTCTTTTTCAGTTGCGAAGATATGTTTTTTTGTGTATCTTCAAAAATTCCGAGACATATTTTACCACGGATCTGCGTATTCTCGAAGCTACTTAAAGATTTAATATTTAATTTTGGATGCATTCGTAATGTATCTCGCATGTTTCACAAAGGAATTTACGTTAATCTCTAACCAAACGGTCAGATCCGTTATTCCGTTTTATTTGCCACTGCTATTTTTTGTCGCTTAATAATTATAAGTTTGGAAATATAAATATTATTTCCTTATTTAATGTGTTTCGTGCACTGAATTGTTACATATTTACTTAGTTATAATCAAAGCACGATTATCATAGTTCAACCATAATCGTTTTCATAATTATAACAACGAGTATCGATTTCCACTTTTTGCAATTATTTTGATTGGCATGATTAAGCAACGGAAATCATTTCGTAATTATCAATATCTTCATGCTTATAATCAAATCGTGGGAAAGTTTTCACGGTCATCATTTCTCCTTCATGACCTCTATCACTTTTTGTGGTCATATTCCAATCATAAACCCTTGCAGGATCATTCAAATTTCATAATCATTGTTACTTCTTCTGACCATAATTGAACACAAACCTATCGTTATTGGAATGTTTTTAATTATAATCAAATCGCGGATATGATTTTTTGTCGTTATCTTTGCTGTGTTTATTTCCGGTATTGTTCTGCATATTGGTGAGCGAAAGACCAGCTTTGGACAACGTTGATATTTTGTGAAGTTATGCGTGAGGGTTCCAACATATGGTAGAAACGATCGGTTTTGGTTTAAAGGAAGAAAATTAGACATCTGAACGGAAGTTGTGAAGGAATTGGTTACTATTTGTATATATATTATATAGTTCGCGTACATAACGACACGTAGGATATATACTGGTGTATCACATATATTGGTATGGATGATCACTACGATAGACAGATGCAGGAAGATAAGTCGGTAGAACTGAAATGGGAGTCCGAGAATAGCAAGAAAAGACGATATACTGCAAAACGTGGTATGCATTTTTGTTTACGATTTTTCTACTCTTATAAGTAATATTTGGAAAGACTCCGTATGGATTTATTTGCTCTTAACTTGCGAATAGTAGCTTTTAGTTGTACTGAAAGATATGTCACATAAATTGAGGAAATATAAGTGTTGTTAACAGCAAAGGTAGGAAGACCATTCGAACTATTCAAAGCTAAATATGACCAAAGTAGTTGTTCGTCATGTAGCTTCCATGGCTGCGGGTGAAGAATCGTATTGGATTCGACATATGGTTGTAGGAAAAAATGCTACAGGAGAATTGTAGAATATATCAGATTATGAATATTGAGTTGTGATGTTGATAAGGAAAATATTTTACATATGGCAACAGTTATATGCTCAGCATTTGGTTTAATGAAAGGACATAATTATTTTTTCAGCGTTTTTAGTCAATGATTCACATTGTTCTGCACCGTCATCATCACCGCATTCAAGCCCGGTTGATGCATCAATGCTCACTGACTTTAATTCTGGTGAATTAAACGACGCAGTTCGAACATACAGTCGTTGCAAGAAGTTTCTTAATTTCTGGATTTTTCTTGATTCATTGCAAAAAATTTATATGAAAAAGTTTGGCACAAGAATAATAAGAATAATATGGATTGAGGGCTTATCGATAATTGTAGATAACTGAGTAATGGTATGCAAGTATGCAAAGGTGGACGTGTTTGTTTTAATGGGTTGACATTGAGTATCGAATAAAAAATTGGATTTCTCTAGAGATGTAGGCAAGATTAGAGTGCCAGGTAAGAACCACATTTCGACAGTGGAATGGAGGAAGATATCCGTTCGTTGAAATTGTCCCATTGCTGTTCTATTGCAAAATTATGCATCATTTGGCGGCATGAATTCTTACTACCAAAAAACTTTTTATAGTGATACACGACCAGTAAAATCAGAAGATGAAAATGGAGACTGGTGGATACAGCTTGATGAACTGTCAGCACGAGATGAGGAAGACGATTCGCCTTTACTGGTAATTTTTGCAATTCAGATAATTCATTAATTGTCCTTCCTCAAGTTGCTTTTAGCCTAGAACATCTGCTATACATGTTCCACTCATTTCTGCGTCTTTTGAGGAGTTAATAAGCTAGCATCATTTTTTTAGGTTTTTAACATTTTTTTTTTTTGATTTTGCTCGTGGAATGTTGTTGGATAATGTGCGGTAATTTACCCTCTATTTATTCTTTCGAGCTCATTTGACTTGTACTTTGTTTTAATTCATTATTATGAGACTATTAAAAAATTTCTACATAAGATTTCGAGCAGCGTTTTTCTAAATCACAAATTAGTTTTACAGGGGTTTGCGAGCATCACTGAAACACGAAAAAAGCTAAAGGTTTTTGTATTGGTATTAATATAGAATTTCTGAGAACTTTGGACAACGTACAAAAATGCTGCATGTGTAGGCTATCCAAAAATGTACTTTAACTCACGGGTAATCTAATTATTATATTAATCATACGGAAGTTTAACGGCAAGTACCGTTATGCTTCTTCAAAGAGACATTTCCAGCCATTTCCAGGATGATACCACAAAAGAGATCACTCATCGAATGAACGAACAATTGGAGGCTGGGGGTCTCAGTAATATAAAAATTAAGGAAAATCAAAAGACCTTATTAACTTGTTATAAAATCAAAAAATTACAGATTCGAACATCAGTGAGTCCAGTTTTTGCTGAATCGATGAGTTCCAAAAGTGAGTTAGAAGATGTAGTGGAAAGTGTAGAGAGCCCACAGAGTAAAGTTGATTTGGATGAAGATGGCGAGCGAACACCATATCCATCAACACCATCGAAACGCCAAATTGTGGCTTATTTTCAAAAATTCTGTAATGTTCCAGAAATACCACTGCCATCAGTTTTTCATAGTATGTTTAACATTTATTAATTTATCAGATCAGATTTGTTGCGTTCTAAATAGAGCACGTATATAAATGAAGCTTTTGATAAATACGTGTAACTTATAGAAAATTTGTTTTGGCTAAAATATTTTTGATTGTTTTTGATTATGCCTTGTATAGAAGGTCCGCTTATTATTGTCCATTTCCCCATTCAAACAATGAGAACCAATCCTTTATAAAATAGTTTAGCACAATTAATTTTCTTAATTAATAGTTGTCGTTCAATCATATGTGGCATTAAACAACATAATTATAGGTTAATAACAATAAGTAAATTATAACCGGTCGGCTAAAAAAATTGTGGACTTGTTTCGAAATAACATATGTAGTGAACAAGATTGATTGGTTTCTCTCTTTTACATCTCATTTCTAGGTAATGGGAGTGTATCGAAAATTCCGGAGTGCTTGCTTGTAGAGCAAAGATGTTTTGCAACGTTCATTCTTTCTTATTCCCATGAGGTTTAATAGTCTCTCCCTAAAAGTTGCAGATTAAGAGCTCTTTCTGTTACTTTTTTTTTGACTAAATGTTCTTAACATTCATCTGTTGTTAATTTCATAGCTTTCTGAAAAGCATACATTATGATTATTTTTTTTCTGTATCCTAATTCATGTTCAAATTCCACCTTCTTTCGAACATTCAGCGTTACAAATCTCAGAATCGAGTGATATTCCTATTTAAATTAACATTGCAAATCTCACGATCTGATTTTTTTTTTGGTGATTTACTTGTTAACTTACAAGGGAAAATCTTCCATGTATTTTCAATTTTTAACTCAGTATGCAACAAATCAATGTTTTCGTAATCAACAGTTAAATAAAATCGATGAGTTAACGGAGGAATACAAACCTGTAAGCCGGATAAAATTTTTGGAAAAAATTGCGTTATTTCCGAAATTACACCATTCTAAATAGATTGAGGTAAAGCTATCAAGTGATGAACATTGAGGTTCTAAAAAGAAGATAAACGACGATCGAATAAGATTATGACATTTATCACGACATTTCAGATAGTCCAGCTGGTAGAGCAATGTCAAGCTCAGCTCCAGCATCTACCGTCGGGTCGTCATCTTCAAATATTGGTGATCCTCTACAGCGGCCAAATACCTTTGACGTTAAAACATCACCATCAGCACATGCTGAGTTAAATGCTGTTGCAAGTGAGAGACCAAAAGAATGGGAGGATTTCACTGAATTACCATCCGGGATGTTGACTCGTTTATTCGATCAATTGCATCGTGCGAGGTTGTTTTTGTATATCAAATGGTTGAGATCTATTTTAATATGAAATTCCGCAGAAATAGAAAAGCGATAACAAGACAAAAAGGCTGGAATAAGAGAAACATCTGACGAATAAATGCCTCATCTGGTTGGAACATTGGGAACGAAAACAAACACTAGAGTGTATACCGCAGTACATGAAATAACCCTTGGATGTCAACAATGAATTGGATAATTGAATTTTATAAATTTTTCGAACACCCGAATTTTGAAAACGAATTCATGCATTATTTTCGTTTTTCACTGTGTTTTTATATTTAAAATTGCTTTTGCAGGTGGATAGTACCAGTGTTACCCAATCAAGAATTGGAAGGACTGATGGAAGTTGCAATTGTGCTTATAAAACGAGGTATTCATTTTGGCTCAAACATTAATTATTAAGTCACTGGCAGTTTCATTCGCGTAATATTTTTAAAATGGTAGCAGTAAAGGAAAAAAAGCAAGAGATAATCATATTTGAATAAAGATGCATTTAATTGTTACATGCAATGAGTGAGCATGATTGAATGGTGCTCGATTCAAATATATCAGTTATGTTCGAACGAAATGTTTGCATACTTGTTGAAAATGATGAATAGAAAATATAAAGGTAGCTATAGAGTATTAGGTTCTATATTTGTTTTGGACATGCAGTATTATTTTAATAGGATCGGGAAAAAATCATTAAAAATTCAGTCGACATTAAAAGAAGATGTAGCTTAAAGAATAGCAATGTTTAATATTTAACTGCATTACAGGAACTGATAAGACATCGAAATTTTTCGAAGGTTTTCTCGAAAAAGGACTGCAAGTTGCTTTCGATAAGTTGATGAATGACGAGGCAATGAAAGACTGGAAGATCGAAATTCATGTAATTTCTCACAAAAGAGAAATTGAGTTTCATAGTAAAACTCTTCTAAAAAAGATTGTGAAACCATAGTCATAGTTTCACAGTCTTTTTTAGAAGAGTTTTAACTTCGCATCCGATATTTAAAAGTATTTTAAAATTAAGTTGTGAAGTTCTTATGTGATATCATCAGTACTGCCTTTGGGAAAAGAGTTACTTTAGAATTAAGAAAAATATAAACAAGATAAATGCTCTGTATGATAGAATTAGTATACTACTTGCTACCCTTGCTCATTTTCAATGGATATTTGGGAATATTTTTCGTACGGAAACAATAATCTATTTATATATTATTAGGTTAAAAGATAATGAATTTAGTTGGGGTAATTCTACAGTGATTTATCAAGTAGACGGTTCTTTATTCAGTATTTACCAGGAATGCTAAATTCGTTCTTTTAAAAATCTAAAGATCTTAACCTTTCTATTTCTACTCTTCTTAGTTAGAAAGTTGAAAATGAGTGCTAACATAACCTTCAGTATGTCAATCTTTTTGCATACTTTCAGGTTACTTTTATATCTCATTCTCCAAGTAGTTTAATATATGAAATGACTGAGCGCAGGTAAATAAGTTTTCATATTAAAAAAAATGGTTACAGAGGTTCATTTGGCTAAGTGTTGCGCGATTCCTCATTATGTTTACGGAGAAAATGCGGCAAACACTTGCAGCAGAAGATTTTCATCACGCTTACTGGAAAATACTGCAATACGTCTTGTCCAGCAATAGTCGGTATGCTTTAAAGCTGCCGAGTTTTTTGTTCAGTTCTGTGAAGTATGTTATTTGTTTGTTTTTTTCTTTTTATATTTTCTTTTTATTTGATAACATATTATAACGAGGCATTTTTTTCATACTTTTTGATCACTCACTCTTCGATTCTTTCTTCTTTTACATTACAAAGTAGTAGAAGAAGTCCAAATATCCTATCTTATTTCAGTGTTTTCAAAAGTAGTTTTCAAATTTTTGGATTTTGAGAGAAGCAAGGAAGACGAGATGTAAGAAAAATATACGTAAAGTAAGACTGGGATAGAGTAGGGAATAAATTCTCATTTGATATGAATAATTTTTATGGACTTTAGAAATTGGAAGTAGTTGCTTTTTCAGCAGAAAAGTTGAAATTTTATTAGCTTTGCATTTTTGTAATGTTTTTTTGCTATGTTTTTTGATTTTTTTGTTTGAATCTAAGATTTGCATTGTTAAATGGAAAATTTGTTCCCATGATGTTACAGTAGAATGATTACTCTAATGGAATTATCATTTATATTTTCAGTTTTCATATGCAAAATTTTGGACGCAAAGCGGATTTCTTGCAAATGGAATTTGATCCAAATGAACTGATACGTTACACTTCGATTAACACCGTTGATGAAGTGTATCAGGTTGGCAATAGCTTTCACTTCAAGTAATAGCTGAAGGTCTCATCATATCTACAGTATTTCTGATTTTTCAACAGAATAATTTTTCCCAACTGTGATTGGAGTGCACAACTCGATCACTTGACATTTTCGAGGACTGCAGTTGCACGTTTAATTTTAAGGGCCGTTTCTGGAATTTGGAGTCCTTCAGACTGGAGTGAATTACGAATTAACTCTGAGAGACCCTTACATTTGAAAAGGCCGTTTTTTCTGATCTGTGAAGATCAGACAGGCTATTTGTTCCTTTATTTTTTATTTGAGGCGTCATTTTTTAATCGTCTTTCAGTTTCAGAGAGTTTTACAATTGTGGCTTTTGCTACTGCTAAGTTATTTCGGAAAGATTGGTGGCTTCACATTGATGAAGAATTTCCTGGAGAAAAATGTTCACGAAACAACAAAAATTACTGATTTTATCGATTGGCTTCGACCATTTGCTTCTTGTTCACTCCTGTTAAAACCAACACTTATTACAGAAACTTTTGGTCCAACCATTGTAAATGTTCCTTTCATCTTTAGTGGCTATTCTGAAGTTTTGGAACACGGTTAACTTGAACAAATTTCTGGATTAAAGAAAGACAGATGAGAGACATGAATTTGTTAATTGACATTTCATGAAAATTAGTCAGTAGTAAAAGAGAGAGATTTAAAATGTCATTAAATTAAATAACAATTTTAATACCAGTTTTCTGACAAGCTGACTGTTCTTGAATTCGAAAAAAAATCAAGAAATATCGTCAAACTTGTGAAAAATTCTTTCTTATTATTGTTTTACGAGCATAAAAACAGGTCCGCAAAATTTTGTTGTGACTCTGTATTGATTTTCATGATAATATAAAGAATGGACAGAGATAGGGTTATGAGAGAAGATAGAAGTTTGCATAATTCAGATAACTGCATAAACAATTATGAACTGATGTGTATATTTATATCAAAATTTTTTCTTCAGCAAGTAGCATTGGCACGACTAGAGCACATGGACGATAAGGAACTGAAATGCGAGACGATAAAAGGTGATTTGAATGAGTCACCGTACGTTGAATTGGCAAAAATATTACAAAGCCTGTTGCTGATTAATCCAGAAATGATACATCTAGGACGGCAAATGCAGTTTTTCTCACTGCGATATATTTTACGGTACAAAAACATTAAGAAATTTCTGTTTTCTCTATTTTTTCATGGATATGTCTTTGAATATTTTGCACGAACATTAGCTGATTTTCGTTGCATTTCTAGCGTACAGAAAATCTAGAGATTAAGACTTTTCGACGTTGTAGGAGAAAATAGGCACCGAATTGAATGCATAGGAAGTATTTCGTCAACAAAACAATCATTATTATTTAAATGAAATAAATGCTGTTTGAATGCTTGTAATGGTGAGGGATTTCAGAGTACTTCAAGTAGCACCTTTTGCTGGACGTATAGCAGCTTTAGAAGAATTACATATGGTTTTGCACAATGTGGCGTCAGAATTTCGACAGGTGACACAACGTTTCCAAGTTTGAACAACATTGCATTTTATAATTGCGTGTTATTTTCAACTAATATTTTTGTACTTTTTCATTATCCTTACCTCAGTTCAATATTTTCACAAGTAACTGGAATGGAATTTACAGTACGGGAAATGGGAAATCGTAATATTTTATGCAAAAAGAGTAAACAGTTAGCGTACTTTGTATGATAAATTTAATATTTTTAGAATGTATCTTTCACTGTTCTTTCAGCAAGAGTTAGTAATTTCGATGAATGATTTGACAGAATGGCTGAGAAAGCAACATGTTATCGAAATATTAGTTCGTGATAATTTGCATCATCCGTCATATTGCGAAAGGTTTTACATTTCTCCATCTTTGCTGAACTTTTAATGGAAGATTTAATTAGCGAACTTCATTTAATAACTGTGGTTGATGATGAATAAAAATGGAAAATTCAGTTTTTTAAAATAATTGATGCCTTCAGATTAGAAAGAGTATTTCGGGTGCTACTGGAAAGAAATGCTGTAACAATTGATGATTTGGATATCCTATGGAATGTACAACGTGAAAAACATGATGTCATTCAGCGAAATGTGCATGACCTAATAGCGAAGTTGGTTAATGGATTCAGCAATGTACTGCAAAAGCATTTGTTTGAACGTATGAAGGTGAGAGTTCTAATTTTTCTTCATTTACAAGTTTAACTTTTAGGCACAAATAGTTCCGTTTTGCTTAGGGTTTTTATTTTACAGTGATTACATAAATTCAATTTGTTTTTTCTGCTTTTTTATTAAATTAATTTTATTTTAATACTATAACGGTCTCAGTTTCTAAATTCTGGATTTAAAAAATTGAAATTGAAAATTGAGAATTAAAGTTATGAATAATTGATTATGTTGGGATTGTATATGTTAAGGAAAGTTGGACAAAGTCGTCTTCAAGACAACGAACACTTTTGCTTGATCTTATACGTCGAATTGGCGTCGATTTCAATAGTCTTACTGAAAAGGTAAGTTATCATCTTTTTATCGCTTAGAATATTAAACCTAACGATCGATAGCGACATGCAGCTAAGTACAAGTCCGGGAACTTTCATTTATTAATTTCATGTAACTCATTTTGGCCGTATTTGTGAGACAGAATGAAGAAAATCAAGAAATGCGAGGTTTATATTCCATCTTTTTATAATTAATTACTTCCAATCGAAATCTATGAATAAATGACAGCATAATATAGAACTGAGAGAGCATGTATCTCATGCTTCAAGCGAATCAGGAGATTACGATATAACTGCAACGATTATACTGTTACCAGGTGATACACATGTACTTCTCATTATTGTTATGCTTCAATGTTTTTCAAAATTCCCAGGAGTTAACTATAAAATCTCTTTCGCTGCTATGGGATTTGTTCCATGATGAGCGGTTACCTGTGGAAATGACTGACGCAGCTCTGGAAGCGCATTTCAATGTAATAGAAAGTGCAGTACCGGCTGAAGAATTAAGGCGGCATTACATCGAACGTTGTATTGATGATTTACTTTTGGACTCAGGTAGTTGTTCAAGATCATTAAGTAATTGAAGGTTTTCATAGCAAAACAGTGAAGTATCAAGAAAGGGAATCATACAATACATTTCGTTTATTCCGAAAATAATTGAGTTGTAGTTGAAATATGCAGCTTAATAATTGACTTTAGATAAGCAAAAATATTATAATGTCATGCATTTTTCTAAATCAGCCTTCTAGATTTCCTAATTTCCTGGTTTTATAGGCTTAGGTAATTGGTTAGATGACCTTTCTTTTTAATTCAATATAATTTATTTTGATTAGTGATAGAAGTATCAGTTTGTTATAAGGCAATTATTTTTTCAGTGTTTGTACTTCCGGCATTAAAACATATGCAACGACTAATGACTTTAATGCCAGAATGTGATTATAGTACAGGCAGGAAAGTGACACGGTGAGTTATTGATTAGTGTTGGCTTAAAAATTTGTTTTATAATTTCCAGGTAGCGAATTGGTACTTAACTTTTAATACACATGTAAGATGAGTTTTTTTTTGAAAGCTAGTGATATTGTGATAAAAAATACAAGTAACATATCGCCGAAATCTTTTGGTTTTGCAGCTTGCGTTTGTCAACATTAAGACGTATTTTACTCATTCAGTTTATAATATAATAGCAGCATTGCAGGGAATTGTCGCAAAGCAATGTAAAATTAATATATTTTGAAGATGAATAGACAGATTTGGTGAATAGTCTTGAAAGGATGATGCAAAAAAATATGAAAAATGCAGAAGAGGAGAGAGAAATAGATGGGTAGTAATAATAATGATAATTATCTAAGGTGAAATAGAGATAATTATCTGGAGTGAAATGATAGTTATCTAAAGTGAAATTGTTTCGAAATTCTTAACGAACGCTTGAAAATTCTTTTTTTAAGGGCGGAATATATTGCCACCGTACAGCAAGATACAGAGCTATGCTCAAGGCTATCGAAAAATGTTGCTCTATACATGGAAAAAGTGCGAAATACCGTGGTATGAATTCTTCATATTACTTTTGTTATTTCAAATATTTTCATTCTATACAGCCGAAGTATTACATTCTTTTCGGCTTATCTATCACAAGCTATGGTCCAATGAATGATACTGCAACTGTTTTTCAATTGTAGAAAATATTTGCAGTGCTTCATTTATATCGTGCATGTGCGCATTAAGCAATTGATAATATTTTTATCTTACTTTCTAAATATTGATATTTTCCGAATGATCGCCGGCATGTTTACGCTGCTGTAGAAGACACAAGTAGTCTAGTGTTTGTTGGTCGTTACACTCATGGCGATAATTTACGAATTCGGCTGAGCTTTCTGCATTTTCTTCTTTCTGATGGACAACTTTGGCTTATGACACCACAGGTTCATTTTAATTTTTCCTACTTCTTTTATTCATCGTTAACCTTTAACCTTCGGAGTCGTTGAAAGGATGGTTACAGGCGAATGAATTATGGGATGCTCTTATCGTCCGATCAGTGTTTGACTATGAGCGTACATATGGTTTCCAGTTGTTTGGTACAATGCAAGATCAGGAGGATATCGATCCAAAAGCACTTGATCAACTTTTTACATGTAAATGAAACTGCTTTTTAGTTTTTTAGATACTCAAATTTTTTGTTGTACGCTGAGTGGTAAAGTCATTGACAATCTTGCTTCTCGTGAAGAGAAGTTAAGCGTACATGAATGTGCCTGCAAATCATTTTCATCAGGAAAAGTTTTGAACTAGTTATTACCGTGCAACTAAAGCAGCTACATAAAATAATTATTTTGGCAGATGAAGCTTTGCACGACTACTCAAGCTATCTTATTTTTAATTAAGGTTAATTACTTTTGAGACGTTGGCGCCGAAATTTTCTGTTTTTTCTCTCAAATATCAAAAGATTTGGTTTCAGCTCGGATCCTGAAACTTCCAGTTGAAATGCTAAACGAAGAAGGTTTTTCATGTTTCAAAACCTTTTGGACTTCGGTAAATAAAAGGCACAGTAAGCTATTTCAACCCACTGAAGGAATATCACATTATTTGATGTGTGATTTTGATCTTGAGGTAAGTAAACACATAAATAAAAATAATAGTGTTTACACTGATGATATGTAAATTGAAATCAAGGAACATCAAAAGGCGACAGTGGTCTAGAACATCATTGAGTTAACATACGAGCAGTAACTTTTTTGAAGTTTGTATTATGAACAGTTTGTTTCTGTGCGAAGCTCCACAAGTTTACCAGTTTATCCGGATATTGATGGACCTTTTTAATTTCAGTTAGAGTTCCAAATCTTTTGCACGAGGAAAGAAAAGGATTTAAAAACATTAAACTGCGTGTTTTTTTACTCTGATACGAATTTACCATTCGTTTTTGATATTGAGCCTATTCCTCATCACGTTACTTTAAGCTCAAGCAGATGCGCTGAATTGATATAGTATTATTCATAATTTCCTCAAATGTGAGTTATTTATCTTTAAGATTTTCTATATTTACAGGGAATGGATTATTTATGGGAAATAATGTTGCAAGGCCGTGCCGAAGTATCACATTTGGCAATTTCCTTATGGGTCGAAATTTTGGCAAATCCTCATACAGCAATGATCTCTGATTTTGCTCATTTGATTCAAACAGTTGTTAGTAAATGGTTAGATGCACTTCAGGATGTTTATTAGCTTCTAGCTTGAGTTGTTGGATGAAAACTAGTTTCCTTGCTTAGACTTATTTGCTGTATTACATCTTTGAATTTCTCTTACGTTGCTTTATATGAGAATGAGATACTGTAGCAAGGTGATCATGAAAAGGAAATAGAAGTCATAGTTTCGGGTAAATTAAGGCGGAATTTGAGTAGAAGATCAAGAAAAAAACGCAATATTTCATTTTAGTTTCGTAATGCTGAAAACGAAGCACGATGATCTCATCAAAGGTGATGATAGTGATGAAAAAAAAATGAAAATGCTTGATCGGATGGGTAGAATCTTAACGGTAACTTTTTGATCCGATTGATTCAATTCTGTAGAAGGATGGAAATTTTCAAAGATAAAATAAAACGTATTTATGAAAATTTTTGTGCGCATTAAGCTTTGCGAGTAACTCAAGACAGATACTCTACCAGAGATATGATGATATTGGAAGTATTTTATTGAAATATAATTTTAGTATTATTCTTTATATTATCAAAATTTCAGGCTCTCAATTCTTATATTTGTGTATTTGACGATGATTACTACACACCCGAAAGATCTCAGCAGCCACTTCGTAAGGCGGGCTTAGGACGATGCTTTGTATTACCAGTTGTTTTTCCTGGTATTTTTTAAACCTGTAGTATTTAATAACATTTTTGGAATAAGAAGCTCTAAAGTGAAGTTTTTGTTCCATCTTAAAAATATAATCTATAGAGTGTGGAAAACAGAAATTATTTAGGTAAAGAGAAATGGGTATTAGATTATAGTGAATTTTTTCCCCCGCTCAATTAAATAATGGAAATATGCATGATAAATTCTGTTTTATCAAATAAAACTTCTCTTTTTTAATCACGTTCGGCTTCTAAAAGTACCTATAAGCAATTTGTATAGATAATTTATTCAAAAAATAATTTTTAGTTTGTTTTATTAATCACCCGGCCAATTTAATTGTAGGCGAATTCAACTGTTAAATCATTGCCAATTTAATTGCTAAATCATTTAGATGAAAAACTGCCGAATGGCATCGACACGAACTGTAAGTTTGTATTCATTTAATGTTTGATTCTTTTTTTGATTTTTTGTGTTGTTTTTTGTTATTTTTGCTAGTTGAATTTTCAGTGATATTGCTTTTTTATTTTACTAACATACTTTGAAGTTTCATTTTAATCAGTTGTTCGATCCTTCCAGTTTTTCATTTTTCCACTTTCAAAATCCATAAAATTAAATGCAAGTGTACTCCAGCATCAGCAATACAAGACGAGGATCATGGTATCCCAGTTCACTCCACTATGCCACTTTCAGCAATGAAAGTCAAGGTTTGTAATAATCTTTTAAAATGAAATGTGCATCGGATTTCAAAATTTGCGAAAACTATAAATGAAAGTTTAAATTTTGGTTTCTATCATAGTTCAAGAATAGCAACACCGAACTGTAGCAGGACGTCAATCAATTGAAAGAATATTGCTATATTTAGTAGGATTCAAATAAGATCATAGTTGAGCTGGAACATGGTATAGAGAAAATGATTCAGCATCAAAAATGTAAAGGCACTTTTTGGGGATAATTTACTTTTTTGGATAAGTCGTTTTAGACAGAATTGAAGCAACTCACATTTGATTTTGCCTTGGAGATGATTTTAGTGCTTTATCGATTCATTCTCAGTATTTGGAATAATGTTAGGAAACAAAAAGGAATCGGATTTCTCCGAAATTATCATGAATAGAGGATTTTTTGGTTTTTCGAGGTGACCAATTTCAGGTTGATGATAAATTACGGTATATGGATGGCTGCAGCATTGCTGGATTGCTTGTACCAGTACAGTTAACTGTTCAGTCCCTTAATCCACCAGAAACGAGAACATTGCATCCGTCTGATCGTCGTAAAACACTTGATGAATTAGGAATAGATTCCAGTGCTCATATTATAATTCGTTTTCAAAACCATCCATGTACATGGAATAATCGGTTAGCTAGCACTGATTCGAGTCCTGACCAAACATTTACTTGCTGGTTTGAATTTTTCATTTTTGAAATTTTTTTTGTTTCTTTTAATTGGTCTTATTACTACTTTTTTATATGAAATGGTGCATAATGAGAAACAATGTTCTGTATTTCAGGAATGAAGGTACAACGGCTGGTAATGAAGAAAATGAGCGTATTTTGCCAGGCTGCGTAATAGCCGCAAATCCTGATCATGTTCGATTCCTCTATACCTTGGCTGACATTGGTTATGCATATGGAAATAATTATTTGAGGAAATCTGCCACTGATGTCTTAAAGTAAGTCTTGCCTTTCTTTTTTCAAACTCCATTGATTTCTTGCATCTAAAGATTTTCCCAGCTAGACCTCGTGAGATTTTTCAGTCAAATACCACCGGACACGATGTCAATAACGATGCTACGGGAATTAGTGGAATCAGGACGATTGTTTGATTTGTTACCATCCGAATCATCTAACCATGTCTTACATCTTTTACGCGTGCTGCATTCTTTACTTTTGCCCTGCAATGGACATTTCATGACTGAGGCTACGGAATTCCAGGTTTGCTTTTCGAATTGTAGTTTTCTACTTCTGAGAATTTTCGTTACCTCTCCGATCTATTTATTTTGAATCCGAAAACAAAACTGTTAATTGTAGCGGCTATGAACTTCAACCTTAGTTTCAATTTGAGCTTACCTATTGTTCTCAACTTTGATGAATGTTTAATTCAGATTTGTTTCCTTACATCACCGAGTTGTTTGGCAGTGTTTTCGTTTCTGGGAGACCCTCAGATTTTATGTCGATGGGATGAATATGCGTGCACAGCAATTGTTTGGTGGTTAGCAAATATAGCGAAATTTGTTCTCTTCGTGGCGGCACGCCTCAAAGTATGCATACATATTTTCATTTCTATTACATTTTTGCTCGCACTTATGTTTAATTTGTCTTGGTGATTTTCGTGATTTAAGAGAAAATTCATCAGTGACTTTGCTGTTTCAAAATTACGCAATATAATCAATGTCTTTTTTAGTATTTGAGGACCACCGATGGGAATGGAAATGGATATTTTGAAACGGGTCGAGTTATTGATCGTGAACAGGCAATTTTTAAAGAGGTAACATTTATATACGACAGCAGTATGTAAGCGGAGATGTTATAATTTTGAGCTTCGAAGTATTACAGTTCAGTATGTCGTAATATCTTTCATGTTGAACATCTTTTTTGTATTACCTGTACCTAAGGATATATAGTTCACGAAGTGAAATTTATCGAATCAAATTGGATTTTTGTATGATGTTGCGGAATATCCTTATTGAATTAAATTAAGCGATTGAAAAAAAAGGGAAAATCCGTCAAATTTTCCAGATGAATTCACATATCTTCATTATTTTTACAGCTTTGTTGTGTAGTTGCATGTGATTTCAACAATCGTATCGAAGAGAATCCTGAAATCATTGAAACAATTTTTCAATTATTTACCCCAGACAGCAATCGGATTGAATGTCTCCTACGGCTTGCGTGGGCAGTTGGTTCACGGAGTATACCGTTACGTCTCATCTCAGGTGGTTTAGCAAAGGATTCATCTGCTGAGACGATCCGGCAATCACAACTTGCAGCTTTCATGCTGGTAATTTATTTCGCGAAAGTTTGCATTTTTAACTGTGACATACTGCAGTTTAGTTTCTTGTTCAATCAACAAGAATAAATTCTCCTATTTTTTTTTCTTTATTTGTCATTTCATGAATAATTAATGTAGAGTGTCTAATTTTTTGTGGGTGTGTGGTAATGAATGATTAATGGTTTAATGCAGGAAGAACCAACGGAATGCTTATTGGATGCATTTGCGATAGAGGTCGTTAGTGGCGATGCAACATCAGAAGTCCTTAGAATCATTCATTTATGGAATCTTCTTGTATCCGATTTATTGTTTTGCAAAAGTTTGTAAGTTCTTTTGTATTTCGGAAGAAGTTTCTGCTAACGAATTTGATTGTCTTATTATATCAGAAATCGTAATTTCGTACAGACGCAGAATTTTTCAATCCAATTCAAGTTTTAGCAGAGGGATCTTCGGAAAATTACGAATATTTGAAATCGCAACGATTTATCGCTTTCGAAAGTTTTCATTATTTTCAGAGTAATCCGGCGCTATTTCTCAGCTTTAATTCGACGAATGGTTTGTCGTATAGGTTCGGCCGAGCGACAACTTGCATTAGCACTGTTGCAATTACTTTTCAACAAACTGGAAGAAAGCGATGAAAAACTAATAAAAAACGCAGAATTTTTTATTTTATTGTGCAAGTATGAAATTGCATTTAACTTTTTTCATGGTCTGCATTATCTAATTCAAGATACTTCACAGAGGAACTATCCGTAGATTCATGGAAGCCGGTTAAAGGAGTTATTGAGTTTTTAATAAATGGTTGTAAATGTTGTAGTTATACTGAGGTTATGCTCTTTTCAATTCTTAGGGGGTCGTTTACATAGTGTTGTATCAGTAGAATTCATAGTGTTGTATCAATAGAATTCATCTTAGATCTATTCTTTCCCATTATTGGAAATTTTCGTTTTAATTTCATCAACAATATATGAATTTTTTAAGCTTGTTGGATCACTGCAGAAATAATCAAATCTACGTTGATGATATAATGCAACAGACAGAAAGGGTCTTGGATTGGTTAGATCGCGCGAAGGTAACATATTTTAAACTCGAATTTTCTTCAATTTCTCTCAAGTGTTATTAGTATTGCAATGGTTTGTACCTTATCAAATAAACTATGCCTAATATTGCTTCACTTGGAGACATTCCAGATGCGATTCTCAGTCCGTGGAACTAAATTCGCAATTTCTGGATGTTTTTCAGAAATATTTTTTTACGTTCCAAGCATTTCAGCAGCACACTATTGCAAATCAGGAAAGTTACCCTGATGATAAGTCACTAATTGGACGACTTGATGTGTGTCGTAGTTTATTGGGGTTTCTTACAAACGAAGAGAAAGTTGTGATTGGTTCGGAACCTAATGGTACACAGCTTGTCAAGGTGGTCCTTTTAAGAATGAAATATTTCCATATAAGTCACAATTTGAGAACTTTCAGAACTCTGGAGGAATTTTTATAGTGTTTTCTTAAAATCACTTATTAAATGACTCCTTTAATTTTACTTGTAGTTTTATTTGATGTGATACGTTTCTGCCTTAATTTGCAGCAGTTGTTGGACGAGTTCATTTTGCCATCTTCACGGACTTACGTTAATTTAATGCGGCAAAGAGATAACGATAGCGAAGTTCATATACAACGTTCAGTAACACATTCAGCAATCTCGAGAGGTGATAAATTGTTTAAATCGTTAAAATGTTGTTTCTCTTCATTTTTTTTACATCATTTTTTTGCAATTGTTCTTTCAAAATGAAGGACGACAAATTTGGGAGATTAGATTAAGATGCATGATGGAGATTAAAAGGTTTATGGCAAAATCTATCATATCGCTACGAATTGGCTTAGTAAATTTTTTATCTATAAGAATATTGATATTCTAAACAGCTAACAGCAGTTTCCAGGTGTAGACGAATCAGATAAGGCCATGCCACGCTCAGAAACAATGGGACCACTGCTTTCTTCGCGTTCCATTCCAGTATGTGGCACCAGTGAAAGTGCCAAAGCAGCATACAGTCTGCTTATTGCGCTTTGTGACGCAACACCGCTAAACTATCGATGCATAGTTGAAAGTCTTCTCGAGCTTTTCTACTCAGGTCCTTCATCATTCCTTCCTAATTCGGAAGGTTTAGAGAATGTGCTTGCTTTCTTGCTTTCGCTTAATGATAAATGATTTACTGAACCAAAGCTTTATTTTCCCAGTTTTCGTTGGAATTATACTGTTTTACGAATAGACTTAAAGCACCGTTCCGTACCTGTGACTCGCTTTCAATTTCAATAAATAAATTTACAGAGCCAGTTCCCACTACGAATATTGAATGGGAATATATGCCGGGGTATTCCATTCGTTCACCTAATAGTTATGTTGGATTGAAGAATGGTGGAGCTACTTGTTACATGAATTCTGTATTCCAACAGGTGTATTTTATTTTACTACCATTTTTAAGAGATGAAAAAACTTTTGGTTATTCAACTAATTCTTGTGAATCTTATTAATCCTATAGTCATTTGAAAATGTAGTATAGCATCCTTCCTGTTGCTGTGATAACTGCATATTCGAAGCAGTCAAAAATTACCTTAATGAACATGAAGAGCCAAAAGTCAAACTACCTGATCTTAACCATTCTGTATGTATTACGTTTGTTTTCAGTAGCTTATGAATCTTCCTCAAAATTTGTTGCTTAGATAATATGATCTACCAAGCTAAACTTATAAACTAAGTTCGTTTTATAGATATTCATGATTGAACCACTTCGTAACGTCGTTATCAATGCGAACTTTACGGATGATATGAGTGTCGAAGAAATGGTTGCAAATGTAAGCTTATATTTGTTCCAAGGAATTTCTTTTTGTTGACAAATAACTTCTAGTTCAGTGTTTTTTTCTCAGGAGTACAATGTTTCGGAGGAGCACTATCATTCAACAATTTTGAAAGCAGTACAATCAATTTTTGCACATCTACTTGGCTCTGAAATGCAATTCTACTCTCCAAAATTCTTTTGGAAGCATTTTCGGTTAGTCAATCGTCATTTACATTTTTAATTTCAAGATTCGATTGAGATAAAGCCGTATTTTAGATTCTACGGGCAAACAGTGAATGTACGAGAGCAGCAGGATGCCTTAGAATTTTACAACGCTCTTTTTGATTCTATAGATGAAGGCCTTAAGAAGTTGGGTGAACCCCCAATTTGCGAGAATTTATTTGGCGGAACGTTTGCTGATCAGAAGATTTGTAAGGACTGTCCGCACAGGTATTACATTTTGTTCATTTTTCTATTTTGTGATGTTTTCAAAGAGATGTAAATGCAGGGACTATTTATCGTACTCTATAAATTCGTAGTCCATTTTTATACGTTGATTGCTTTGAACAAAGAAGATAATCCATAATTATGTAATTTCGAATTTAGTATTCCTTGCTTCATCTTGCCAGCCGGAGAAATTTGATGTCCGAAGTTGGGATGAGAGAAAAAAATTTTTATTTTGCTTTTCTGAATATATGATTTTTTTGATGGAAAATATCTAGATATCAACGCGAAGAACCGTTTACATCAATATCAGTTGATGTGCGATCTCATAATAATCTTCTCGATTCCCTTAAAGAATATGTAAAAGGGGATTTATTGAACAACGATAATGCATATCTTTGTGAAGAGTGTAATAAAAAAGTGGGTTTTTCACTCCATTCCGAATTCTGCAGTTTAAAATTTAGCTCAGGATTTAAATTTTCTGCGACTAAAAATGAACGAGAAAGGAAGAGTAAAAAGGAGACTCATTTTTCTTCAAAGTGCTGTTTTATATCCAGAAGATATAAAATCTAGAGAATTCAGAATCGAAGGAGATGTAGAGGTCACATTAATTTATTACCAGCTGACAAGTAAAGCTGATAATTGGTGTTTTATAGGTAACAGCAGTGAAACGATTATGTGTTGCTAGATTACCACCGTATTTGACGATACAACTGAAAAGATTTGATTTCGATTGGGAACGTGACTCATCACAAAAATACAACGATTATTTCGAATTTCCGATTGATCTTGATATGATGCCCTTTACTGTTCATGGATTAGCTCAAACCGAAGGTATTTTTTATACTGCTACATGAAATATAGCGAGATCTGTTATTTTTTAGTTCAAGTGAAAATTAATTGTTTTGTTTCTGTTAATTCGACATGACGGACGAATTCCCGGATATTTGCATTATAATTTGATCAATGGTCATTACTTGTTCTGTGAATTCATCATTATTTCCAATTTTCATGATCTTTTTTTTGAATATTTATTTTTCGCAATACATTCCTACTGCTTTTTGCAGGAGAAATTTCGAAAGAGGAGTTAACTCATTCGTCAGTAACTGATAGCGGCCGAGGTGTGTTTTTCGGAATATTTTCTTGGAAAATATTTATGTGGATTATTAGAAAATATTAGGAAACATATGCAGAAATATTAGAAATCCATAAATATTAGAAAATATATGTAAAAAAGAGAACAGTTATCTCAACATTGTAGACAAGATTGGGGAATTAACTTAATTAACTTGCACTTATGTTCATTTCTTCCTTTTCCGATCGGAATTTATTTTAATTTATCTGTTATTGAGCATGATGATTTTATAATTGTAGGCACATCTGAAAGAGCATCACCGGAGATAAACGATGTTTGTGGTGCTACTGGTACCTCCATATCGGAAGTTAAGCTGGATGATAAGTTCGTTGTTTCTAATTTTACAGTGTTCATTAAGTAATTCTGGATAGCAATTCTACTGAATTCAATACAAGTGATTTCAGTAATACGAAATACAGCTTGCGTGGAGTGATCGTACATTCTGGACAAGCGAACGGTGGTCATTATTACTCATTCATTCGTTCCGAAGAAGATGGTGGTCGTTGGTTCAAATTCGATGATGTTGACGTTACGGAATGGCGTTTGAGCAAAGAGGTGAATTTCGATAAAATGGTGCGAGAAGCGGTAGACTCTCACTATATTAGTTATAAGTCGATGTATCCTTGAGTTTTTTTATCACTAGTTTAATTGTTGCACTATTGATTCTCTGCTTCATTTTTTTTTCATTTAGTTATTTAAGTATTTAAATTCTTTTTTAAGTCCTAAAGTTAATGGAGTCCTGCATCCTTAGATTCTCCTTTTTCCAAAATTTTCCAGTCTTATGGTAAAATCGATTTTATGAAACAAGTGAGGTCTAAATATTAGATTGAAAATTTTAAAAACGATGATTAGTATTAGTATTTGTCCAGTATTGGTGTGAGTATTTATGATTTTACACGATGTTCACAGTTTCTTCGATACATAGAAAGTTAACAAAGTTGATTGATTTTTTAAATTCTGACATGTTTTTAGGAAATGCAAAATATGTGGTTTGGTGGTGAGTACATTGCTGAAGGGTTTGAGAACAGCAGCCATTATCAGAAAAAACGACAGAAGCGCTGGTGGAATGCTTATTTACTCATATACGAAAAGGTTTTCATAAATTTCAGAATTTATCTGCTTTGAAATTTTCGAAGTTTTGTCGATGTTCTTTGTTGAGATGAGTGATTAATTCAGGATGATTATTTAATTGGTTCAGCTTTTTAGAATATGCGTAGTGGTTACACCGTTCTATAAAGAATCTAACAAGGTTGTGGCAAAACTATCCACATTATGCTTTTTGAGCTGTCAAGTTATTTGAATTAGCTCATTTGACAAAGCTCCTGATGATTTAGAATGTTTAACTTAACAGGAGGATTTTTTTACGGTCACTATCCCATCAGTGCTGCGATCTTCTGTACGGTATTCGTTCTGAGCATTGCTTTTATTTCAAGCAATCTTTTTCTAGGCTGCAACAGCTGTTGCTTCTGTAGCATCATCATCAGCGGAACTAACGACTTCTTCTTCCACGCAGCCATCACATTCGTCTTCCAATAGCCCGTTTAGTCTGGATAAGAAAATAAGTGCTATGTCTATCAGTAAGTTTGTTTTTTTTTTTGGATGATTTCGCTTAATTTATCCAAAATGATATACTCTCTTAAAGTTATAACCATTCGCGAATGCATGAATTTTGAAAAGAAAATCAAGATCTATAAAGTTTTACAGTTGATTGGAGCCGTCAGGCAGTTACGGAAATTTATTTGTTTTTTATTAATATTCTACCCCTTGTTACTAATCTTTATAAAAACAAACAAATAATAAAACAAATAAGAAAAGTTGTATCTTCTTTTTTCAAGCAGAATTTCGAATGAATGCATATATTTTACATAGACAACATGAAGTAAAAAAATAAAATATGCATCAATAAATAAAACAAACGAATAAAAACGCAACATGAATACGAAATACGCGAGGAAGGAGTACACATTTGTTTTAGGCACACGTATCCGACAGATGCCTCCAAAATTGGAAGCTTTGGTTCGCGGAAAAAACACTTATGCAATGCATGAACGTTCACAGTAAGTTGAAGAATTTTGATACATTAATTTTTTTCTTCTCTAGTCCTGCTATTATATTTCAATGCGCTATGTTTCATGTCATATTTCAAGTGCTGTGATATAGGTATAAACATACGGGAAGCTTTTTTATATACCGATAAATACAGACAAATAATTAGGTCAAATTTTTGAGATGTAAATTATTTTTTAAAATTGAAAAATTCAATCAAACAAAAAGTTTTATTTACAACAGCCAGTAATTTTTACCTATTCATTATTTATATGTAGAAGTCAAAGTCGAAGCCTTAAAAACAAAACTGATGGTTTTCAATACAACAAATTTCCAGGTACACTCCGAATTACTTCCAATTCGTTCGGGATTTATGCTCACGAGCAGTCCAAATGATTAGTCGGATAAATGTTGAACTTCAGGAGTAAGACTTTTTGAATTAGTATTCTTTTTATTCCATTAATATTTTTGTAGAAGTTAATATGCTGCAAAGAGTTCTTGTACCATTCATTATTTTTTGCAGTGATTATTATTTGTTAACGACAAAACTACTGAGCAAGTTTCTATTTTCCACTGGTCTACGAGCAAAGAAAATATTACGGTAAAAGATTTAATCAATCAATGGAAAAATATCAGATGATTTATTTCCATCATGCGTCTTGTTTACAATTTTCACGTTTTCTTCTCTTTCGCTTTTCACTTCTCACGTTTTCTTCTCTTAATTGCGAAATTTTTATGTGTAAAATATTTGCTTCATCTGCTCTTTATTTCTCGTAGGAAATAAGACGGTAAATTGCAGTTGTGGCAATGTGACAGAATGGCAGAAAACTTATGAAATATTATTTACATCGTCAGAGTCTTCGCGTGGATGGTTTATTTGTAATATTATGTTTCAATCTAAAATGGTTGTTTTGTATCTTCTTACCGCACCTTCAACTGATGTAAGTGTGCCGAAATTTTAAAGATTGCAGATTCCGAAATTGCAGGAAAATATATAGGCCCAAATTCTTAACGTATTGTTTTTGTACTATAATGGATGCCGAGGAAGCAAAATTCTTTTTCATTATGAATTCTAAAAAGCATTTAATTTTGGAACATATTGTTAGATGATATACCAGATGGTTGCATCGGTTACACCAAATTTCATTTTGGTCGCAACTTTATCCAATTTAAGCAAACAATTGTATTTATTGAAATACGTAATTAGATATCTGTTTGTCAAAATATATACGTGAATATTCTTTTGAATTTCAGGACTTTATCATATTTGATTTTAGGTGCGATACTTTTTTACAAATATATTTGTAACACTTTTGAATGCAGCGGCACATGATTATTCTGATGTCATTGAGCCATATATGCGTAAGTTCTAAACGCTGGATAGGAATTTTTGTTAGAGCGGAAGTATTTTAAACTGTTGGGATTTCGAGCTAATAGCGTTGATGTGGCTGAATTCGTAGCTTATATTATGACAGTAATTTCTGATCCTTTATATTTTACACGAATTTGAAAAAAATCACAAAATATATTTCGCGATTGTTTAGGTAACAGTTTCGGAGACGTAAATATTAATTGTTCTAACATTGCCGTTGCAGGAGATTGCCCTGACTTCAAAATTGAAACCGTTTATAAGGCGGGTGATACGGTATCTGATATGTTCATTACTTTGTTACTTATCATTCCTCGTAACTACTTCACCGAATTCAGCACTCATCCTACCCAGTATATAGCTTTGTTCAATCTTTATGCTCTGTCGGGTTTAGAGCAAGTAAGTATCTACGTGTTCTTGTATTTTCCATTCCCGTACTCTAGGTTTACTTGAGTTTTCAGGAAATCTATTTCAAATGATATTTCTTATCCGTTAACAACTCTTTGCATTAATAAATAATCCTATCGGCCGTTTACTAATTCCCATTGAAAGTCTTATCGTATACATTAAGGAAAGAATCATTTCAGAAAAAACAACTAGTGCGAAAAGGTGCCTTGCATGCATTGTTGGTGCTCATTTCGCGAGATGATTATCATATCAAAGTGATTTATCAAGATAGTTCAAAACTGTATGAAGTTATTTCATTACTTCTCAGAATTTGCAAATTCGAATGGCAAGGAGAGGTGAGAACATATGCTAGTAACATATGCTAGTTTATATTACGGCTAATTTCGAACTTTCCATAGTTATTTCTGTCTAAAATTATGGAATATGCGTACCTCAAATAAATTTTGATATTAAAATCAATTTTTATTTGTTTTGCAGAATGCTAATTTGAATCCATATGCTATCACAACCGGTGGTCTTATTCAGGCACCGGAAGAAGTTGCTCAGTGGATGAATGAGCTACTTTTTGTTAATAGGTACTTTCTTTTGCAGCAACTTTTTTCAATTTGGTTCAATTTTTTATGCTTTTTATGCTATTTCTAACATATTTAAGGGCGAAGTAGAAACATCAACTAATTTATTAACTACTCAGAAACATGAGACTTTTGATTCACGACATATACGAAGCTTAAACCTATGGCGAGCTTTAGGTTGCTGAAGCAGTTGATCGAATTGCCTACTGATCGTGCAGTTGCACTAGATACGATATTGTACTTGTGCTGGGAGAATCTTAATTTTACGAAAATTCTTCTGTATCATTTTTCGTTTGAGGTACGTAATTGATGCAGTTTTAAATAACTTTTAGCGTTACAAACATGTCAAAAAGAGACTCCCATGAAATTCTATTGTACCGGTATAGTTTGGGGCGTCAGCTTCATTTCTTATGTTCCGAAGAAAAAGAAGAGGAGGGAAGCGGAATGTAGAAAATTTTTTTCTTAGTTTGGTGAAGTTTAGATATGGATTTTTGATTTAGCCAAATGATCAATTCATAATGAACTTTGGCCACTTCCAGAGCTGCAGAATAACACATTAAACCCAAAAAAGCAATATATTAAAAATGGTCGTTTTTCTGTCGAGATTTATAGGAACAAAGAAGTGTCTCCCTCGCTGTTATGAATTGAACAAGAATTTTGCTAAACTACATAGGCAGAAAAAATGAAATTATAAAATAAGAATTCAGCTTAAAATTTTTTGATTCAGTGTACACCATAAATATATCAATAACTTAATTGTATCCTTAGTTTATTTAAATTAATACCTCGTTAAAATATTTCGTTTTTTAGTGTCTATTTACACCGAATGAAGTAAAGAACGCGACAATAATCATTGAAAACATTCTTGAAATTAATGATTCTGTACGGATGGAGCGGCAGCGTTTGGTACTTTTAGGTTTTGGTAAGTTGTAACCCATTGTTTTCATGGGTTTTTCGGGAATTCACATAACTTAAGCAAGGTTTAAAATCAAAAATCAGAAACTGAAATATTCAATTTTTTCGAAGTCTCATCTGTGCCGCTAACGTTTAAAACACTAATAGCTGTTTAAATTTTGATTTTATGAGCCCAAAAATTTTGAAAATGATGTTATCGTAATTATTTAAATGGGCGTTTCAGATTTTTTCCATTAAATTTATTTCCAGTAAGGGATTTTCAAAGAAAAAATAAACCGGCTACTAATTCGTATTTAAGAGTTTTTTTTAAAGGAAATATCATTTCTATTCTACTGATTGGTAATCTTACTGGTCAGTAGAACTTCTAATACATACCAATAATGTCAAAAGTCGTTTCATGAATAGATTTCTTTTTAGTTTCACATTTTATTACCTGGGTTTTTTTTCGCATCCAGGTTAATGTTTAGATATTGGTTTGAGGACTGATATTAAAGAAAGAAATATGTGTAGGCATTTGGGCCTTTATTCGAAATAAAACTTGTGGCAGTACTCAGGAATGGATAAAATATTTATTTGATTAGGCAATTTTATCCTGATTAAGTTTCAAGTGTTCCAGTATAATTACAGATTTAGTTAATATTTGATTTTCCAATCTCGTGATGCGAATTTTTTTCAGAAAATGGCCCACAAAAGTACAAAGGCTTTATTGCAATAATGTTCGGCCAAAGGGATATCTACTCATGGAAAGCATATCATTTGTTGCGAACATTAATCGATATTGCTTCTGATAACGAAGGGATTGTTAAGGTTAATCTTTTGAAGTTAAGGTGATAGTTCTTTATTCTGCTATGTGTATTTTGATACATCTTATCTTTCGGTTTGCAATTTTTTTCTCATTACTGAAATGGAGGTAGTAATGATGATATTAAGTGAAGGATTTCATTTAATTTTTTTAACCCGTTATTGTTGTGAGCCTTATGGCGTATTCCTTTTAGCAGTTCTCATTTAATTCATAATTAAGATTATTGCGGAAGCTGAACAAGCTCGCAACAATTTGTATAGAATGAAGGATTGGTTTAAATTGCAACTTGCTGCCAATGTAAGTCAAAAATTTTGTCTATAGAATTACCTCCTATAAAGCAAAAAATCTAAATGCTAAAATTATTAAAGTGTCTGGCTCATTTATTATATGATAAAGTACCACTTAAATCTTCTTTTATACCGAATAGGACAACTGAATACATTGAGTACTTGTGAACGATGATCTTCATTGCTATTATTCATGATTTCAAAGACAGACAACACTGATCTATATCCTTCTTTCAATATCTGAGGCACCTGTAAAGGACCGGCAATTTTGTCGAAAAATTTCTCAAGTTTGTCTTAGCTCCGTAAATTCAGGTTGTTTTCAGTCGGCTAAATCGGACATCTATGATTATGATAATTTTCGTGATGATTTGGATAAATCGAATGACACTGAAGGAATGGATAGTTTTATTGAAATCTATGAAAAATTTCAAGATTTCCTTTCGAAACTCAATGCTCCATCCTCGGCTGTTTCAAACGGCGGTAGTTCTTCAAGCGATGACGATAATTTTGCCAGGGACACTTTTTTTGGAGTAAGTATAATTTATTGAAAAAAACGGAAATCTAAGAATTTTGTATTTACTGAAGTTAGCAGTGCATTATAGCTTTAGCAGATTAGAGTATAGCTTATCCATAATTTAATAATAATATAGTTTATCCATAATTTAAGGTGCTGATGTTGCTTTCTTTTTTATAAAGTATAAATCTCTTCTGCAGTCCTTAAGAAGCGGTATATTATTATATCGTATACTATAACTTTTTGATTTGTATATATCATTTTCTATCATTGCATCATTTTGCATCGATGTATAGATTTGAAACAAAATCTTTAGGATATGCCGAGAGATGTCCCAGGAGTTTCGAGTGAAAGATGTCTATCGTGTGCTTCCGAAGAACGTTCGAGATCAGCGGAACAATCTTCAGCAGATTATGGTAGAGCTGAAATATCCTCGAGTGTTGATTCACCAAAAAATGATGCCTGTACTATAGAATCCAAGTTGTCTTTGAAAACAGGTTTATTTAAACGTTGTGCAAAACAATACATTTTTATCAAATATTAAACCGTTTTATGATAGAACATCTGCAATTTACGTGCTATGAAGTGCGGACACGTTTGGCATTAGTACAACCTCCACCACCGTATTCAAAATATAACAAAATTTTTAAAGGTACTTCTGATGAAGCTTTAACTCTGGGCACATCTATGTCATTCAGCGAAAGGCTTTTAGCTAATGTTGGTCTACCACCTCCGCCACCGTATTCAAAATATGATTCAGCTGATATAGTTTCACAACAGTAAGATTTAAAATTTTTATTGATCAATTTCTTTAGGACATGTAAGATTTTTGTTCCTGAAAAATTAATTTTCTGATTTAAAAATTCAGGAGTGATTCATAGAGATGGTTATTTACCGTTGAAAATTCGATTGCGCTTTGCAGATATCCACATGTTCAACAGCCAGTGTCATCTGTAGGTACGCCGCATTCCTGGCAAATTTCACTAACTACTAAGATAAATCGTCCAGAAGATGATTCATCAGTTGAATCCACATTAACGGGTGTTGAAATGGAGGATGCACCGCCACCATATGAATAAAGGATGTACACACTATATGAATAAGTGCTAGTTAAATAGGAACGATGTAAAAGTTATCGCTCAGTAAATTTGGTCATTGTATGACAAGTTTCATTTATTATATGAACAAAATATTATCTAGATCTTTTCTTTTTCTTTTTTCTTTTTTTGTTGTTGAATCGAATCGAAAAGAATCGATGATATATCTTTGAGAAAATTTTATAATTATTTCCTGGTGATTCGAAAGTTTTTTTATTACAACTTCTCAACTGAATCATCAGGGTTTTGATGTGTGTATTTCTTTCTATATTTTCTGAAGAATAAATATATTTGAAAGATTTAGTCAGTAGTCAGTTAGCACTAGCTGTATACAGTCGTTGAGGTGAGTGCATTCCTGAGGCTTTCGAAGTGTTTGTAGATCATCTTTTGCGAATGAGTTTGTTGTTGCTGCTCAGGACACTGTCAATGATTATTATATTTTTCAATTTTGCTCTTGTTTTTTTCTTTTTCATGGTTAATTTCATTATTATTCATCAATGGATTTCTTTGCCCTGACTTTTTCTCCTTGTAATCATAACATTCTTTTTGTATAAGTTTACCTGTTTATATTATTTCACTTTTTCTTTCCCTTTCGTCAGTCATACTGGACTTCCAAATCGAATTTTAATTTATATATGCTTTCTGACCAAATAATTTCTTCTGTCGTGATAACGAAAAAGTTGCTGTAAATTTTAATTTTCAAAAATTGACAGGTAATTAATGGTTTCTCTATTAATAGTATTAGTTTTGCTAATACTATTATACTACGTTTGTTGGTGCTCTACTACCATCACTGTTGTTGCTGCTCCTTTTAATATTACAATTCTAGCTGTTTCTTTTTTTAATTTATGTAAAGTTTTTTTTTTACTAAACATCCTTTGAACTTATTTCAATTTTTTACAACTACTATGATTATAGTTATGATCATGGTCCTTTTAGCTCTCATCAGTTGCTATCATTTTGTTGCTGTTCAGTGTAAGTACCCTTTGTCAAAAGTGATGTATTTTATGCTTAAATGTAAGCAGCTGCAGTTTTTTTTGCAAATAAAATGTGTTTCTATAGAATTGATCTCTTCCAACGCAGAACTATGGTAGAATTTTGTTTTATCACTGATTTAATGAGCTTTTAAGCCTCATTAAATCCACATAAAACAAAAAAGAAGCTTTGATTATGCTAATCCACTACTTGTTATTGTCTTTTTTTTTCTCTAAAAAACATCCTTATCATAAGCCTATAGATCTTATCAGTTTTGTTTAGTTGATTCTTCATATGTAATTATAAATTCATCAACATTATTCTGATTTTTTGAGATACTGTCATTTCAAAGTATCGAAACGGGAATAATCAACTTTTCTCCTTTTCACGAAAAATTGCATTTCTTTCCTTCTTTTTTTGAAATATGCAAATCGTTCTCATTTGTCATTTCACCGATATTATCATATATACTATATTATTCGGTTGTTTTTCTCTTTTGTTTAAAGTTTGAAATTGTGAAATGAAAAATGTTTCATTTTATGTATGTGTATAAATGAAATGAATTTTGTAAGGCAAAAACATTTTCATAAAAGCACATACATATACGTTTTTATCATTTCATGATGAATGATTATGAAATTGCAGAAAATTTCACGTTTACTCTTATAAACTTTATCTGTCAGACGATATGAATATGTATGGTCCGATGTTATTATTAGCATTTAGAAAATTTTTTCTCTATATCGATAAAAGAAGAAATTATTGAAAACGAATGCGATGAAATAGTTATGTCACAACATTTGATAATATCGTACCATGGTATCATCACTTGAATAATTTTTTGTTCTTCGTTGTAAATTATTTTGTCTCGCAAAGGATGTCGTTTTTTTTTTTTTGTTTTCAAATCTGGAAATAGTTAATATCTGAGGATGATTTCTTCGCAAGGTAGATGCAAATTTTCCTGAACAGTTATGAGTGATAAGTGTACCAAAGCTATTATAAAGGAAAAAAAAAGATGTGAGAATGTGCCGATTAATTAATTGGTTAAATAACTATGACAGTAAATAAGCTTAGGTTAATAATTTCTGATTTTTACTCATCCGTTGAAATATGCAACTTATTGTAGGCATAAAGAAAATAACCAGGTAAATAAGCTTAGATTAATTATTTGATGAGTAAATGTGAGAGAGACATATGAAAGTAAAGCAACAGAAGAAGTGAGGTTTTGTGGAAAAATGAGTATTGTTGGTTTTATTTTAAAAAAATTACAAATTTTTATTTTGTTAAAAAAGACATCAAATTTGCTTATCTAAAAATGACTCGGAAAATTAAGGAAATATGGAGGAAAAGATTAATTAGCAATTGTTATTCCACAAATATGTGTATCATCCAAGAAATATATGAAGTTACAATGCACAGAGGCTTTTTTGATCCATCATCTTAATAGCCATCATAAATGATATTTTTGAGGATATCAGGTGTGAGGTCAGGACATTCATCGAGCTCGTTATCTCTTTTTCCTCCTTTTCCATCAATACCAATATCATCACCTCCTCCCCCTCCTCCTCCCACTCCTCCTGTACCCACTCCTCCTCCTCCTCTTCCTTCACCTCCTCTTCCTTTTTTCTCATCAACACTAATATCATCACCTCCTCCTCCCCCTCTCCCTCCTCCTGTACCCACTCCTCCTCCTCCTCCTCTTCCTTTTTTCTCATCAACGCCAATATCATCACCTCCTCCTCCCCCTCCCCCTCCCCCTCCTCCTTCTCCTCCTCCTCCTGTTCCTCCTCCTCCTCCTCCTCCTCCTTCACCTCCTTTTCCACCTTTTCCGTTTGTAATACCACCATCTTTTTCCTTTTCTCGCGATCCTTCCGGTTCTATACTCCCTTTCGAGGTACTTTTCTAAAGGCACAAAAGTAGAATTTGAAATGAAAGAAAAAGAAAATAACTAAATTTAAGAATTTCAAAATAGAAGAAATAATATTGATTAGCTTAAGGTAGGAATAGATTGGAAATGATGTAAATTCCAATGATAATTAATGAGTAATAGGAAATGAATATATTACATAAGATTAATTAATTAGTAGTAGGAAATACAATTGAATAATAATCAATTAGTCATTTTATATATTTAATACTGCTTATATTTTCCTTGTGCATTTGAAAAAAAATGTAGAAGAAAATTGAGTTTAATTTTAATTAATTTCAAAATTAAAAAAAAGAACTCAAATATACAAAGATGATGGGAGAAATTTATCTTATCTGAATGACGAAAAATTCATTTATCTTTAAATTCTCTCTACTTTATTTATTTCATTTGCAATTAATTTTCTTAATTTCCTTATTTCATTTATAATTAATTTCTTAATTTCTTTATTTCATTTATAATTAATTTCTTTATTTCATTTATAATTAATTTCTTAATTCCCTAAATTTTATAACATTCCATTAATTTTTTTATTTACTTTACAATTTTTGATTTTATTTTTATTCCTTCTACTACTGCTATTTCTATTTTCAATATTGCGACTATCTATATGTATAATATATAAGCCGTATAATATATATATATATATATATATAAGCCTGCACACTGCTGTAGCATGGATATCTCAAATTCTGATAACTATCAAATATTTGTGATTATAAATTTCTGATCAATTTTTTTCTTACAAAAAAATGTTAAAGAAAATTTAGAAAAAGAATTTAGATAAAATTACAAATTTTTTAAAGTTATGAAATACTAAAATTAAATAATTAACGGATTACTTTAGCATTAACTTTTAGTTCTGCGGATGGTGATGTGGGTATAGTACCAGTTGCTGCTGGCTGTACATCCTGATATGGTACAGCAGATGAATTCTTAGCATAGGCTGGCACTGTCATAGGTTGTTGTTGTTGTTGTACTTGCATCATTGGTGGTACAATGCTACGCATTGAATTTGTTATTTCACATCTATGCTTTTTATGAGTAGCACATGCCATTTGCATAATGATCAATGGTGCCAAAAATAATACTACTGCAAAAAAGATATTGATGAAATGTTTTTTGAAATTGTTAAATTTTGGATCAAAGAAAAAAATTATTATCCTTAAAATGAATGATATCAAATTATTATTTAGGAAGATTGTTTTTATGTCAGATAATTTATTAAACTTTATCAGATAAAAACTTATCAAATAGTACACCTGAGAATATGGAAATAATCCGATAATAAATGATAACGTTTGATAAATATATTAGGAAAATTTTTCCCCTAACAATAATAAAGTATTATCCTTAACAAATAGCATACCTAATAATATGGAAATAATCCGATAATAAATTATAACGTTTGATAAATAAATCAGGAAAATTTTTTCCCTAACAATAATAAAGTATTATCCTTAACAAATAGCATATCTAATAAAATGGAAATAATCAAATAATAAATGATAATGTTTGATAAATCTATCGGGGAAATTTTTTTCCTAAAATAACAAAGTATTATCCTTAACAAATAGCATACCTGATAAAATGGAAATAATCAGATAATAAATGATAACGTTTGATAAATAAAATATCATATTTTGCAATATTTATTTCCCTGTAAAAATTCGTTTAATAGAAATATTCTTTCATTTTAAACATTTATTATAAATTATAAAAATTTTTCCGTTTTTCATTTTTCGATAACTATATATATATATTATAAAAAAAATATATAAATGTATATTACTGCTATATTTAATCATTAAATTTTAACTGCACTACAACAATTAAAATTTATTTTCATCCTAATTTTAATTTATATTACTAATTGTTGGAATAAAAAATTAATTATGGGCAGTATCGACGAAACAATAACAAAATCAAATTGATGATCTTATCGTATTAACTATATTTATCAAAAAATGCTGTGAAAAAGTGCTGTGATGGAGAAATATTATATAACCTGTTTAAATTAAAATATTAAATTGTTAACAGTTAATATTTCCATTATCAAGAAAATTTTATCAAAATATCATAAGTATTTAATCACTGTTATTTAGTAATACCATACGTATTTAATTATTATTACTTGGTAATATCATAAGTATTTATTAACTATTACTTGGTAATATCATAGGTATTTAATTACTATTACTTGGTAATCGTGATTTTACGCTAGCAAGAATAAAACACAAATGTATTTTTTAATAATCGAAAATATTGCTGGTTTTTTACCGGAATTTTCTAAAAATAAAGATAATAACAGTAACAACAATAACAGTAGAAAGATTATCTGTTTATTTTAAAGCTCTCTAAATTTGTTCTCTTTTATTTTAGAATTTTATTCACTAATTGATGATAATTATACATAATGATAAGTTATAAATAATCAATCATTTTTATTCCTTATTATTTTAAGAATCAATAAATATTCATTAAATTAAATAATTCAATAAATATATATAAGATATATATTCTTTTGTTTTAATTATCATTATAACTAGAATATGCAAATTTAATTAAAAACATTGTTATATTAAACTTTTAGTCATTTAGTTAAATTATTTTCTTTTATAATTATTTATTCAAGACAGATAGATGAGAAATCAATTAATACTTGTTGTTGTCGCATTTAAACATTATTATTGACAATAAACTCTTTATTTTATTGATTTTTAAAAGTAAATATATTTAATTATTTAGTATTGAATTCTAGCTATATCTTATATAAACAATACCGACTAGTTTGCTTATCTATAATGCAGTTTCATAATCCTAATAAACAATGCAGTTGAATTTCGATAATCTTTACAACATTTCAATGTGGGTTGTTTAAAAGAATATAAAAAGCCCACATTTTACGACGATCATTAATTTCTTTCCTTTTTTTGTTTTCTTTCAAAGTCAAATAAATAAACCAACCACCTTATAAACCAACTGCCCACGATTTAATGATCCAAACATATATCAGAGTTTAATTTTTGATAAATATCTGCCAATCAAATATTAAAATGACATAACGGTCGTTTATTCGAAATGTTTAAATTCTGCAATAATTTTAACATTGAATTTTACGATCACATTGATTTTATTATTTTCCAGTAACATAAAATGAATAAGCTAACCACCTACCGTTCTGTAAAACTAAAATAATACATAGAATTTTTGAAATATTACCATTTTTATATTACCAATATTACCAAACTGAAATATCACCAACTTTGAAAAGTTTTCTTTTTTACATTTTATCACACAAATGTGAAAATTCAATATTTTTCACTTTCATTATATTATAATGAACTATGCTTATAATCATTATAATATAATTTCATTTTAATATAATATATTATAGTATATTACAGTTCGAAAATTTTGATCATACTATGGTGAAATTTATGTCTGTTTTAGAGAATTCTTTAATCCTTTCAAAACATCTAATCTTTAATCCCAATCCTTTCTACATTATTTCTCGTTCCAAAGTTTCAATTACATTCATTCAACAACAAATAGCAACGAAAAACGCTAAATCAATTCACATAGATTTTATAATTTCATTACTAATTGTCGGTAATTTAATCGTAATAAATGTTGAACTTAAATGAATTTTATCGAATTAAGCGAAAGATAAAAAAGTTAATTATTTAGCAATAATATCACAACAAACATCTCAATTCAAGAGGTCAAATAGATGATTGGCTTGATCGCCTTTTCCACATATCATAATATCATAACAATCACCTCAATTTAAGAGGCCAATAATGGATGCTTGATCGCCTTTTCCACATACCATAATATCATAACAATCATCTCAATTCAAGAGACCAAATGAATGCTTGATCTCCTTTTCTACATATCTATACCAAAATGCATAGAATTGAATTTTTAATCCCATGTTTAATATTTGTGTCATTCACATGGATTATTATTGGAATTAGTTAAAAGTTCATAATTATGGCGCATTTTTTTTTTCAATGTTAATAATTTATTGTTTTGAAGTAAAAATTGAAAATGAAATTGGATGAGTCATTTGATGATAATGTTTCATTAACAATTCAATAAAGCCTCTAATATTGAAAAAAAAAAAGATTTTTCGATGAAAGAAAGGAAGAAGAAAAGAAGTTATTCCTTGTAAAGACAATTTTACTAATAATTTTTGATTATATCATTGCAGTTTGACTGAATGAAAATTGATTAAATTATACCAACAAATATTATATAAATTTTGACGTTGACATTGAATGATCGTACTTGGTCATTCAACGCCAAATTTTATATCATTTCAATATAACAATTTCCTTGGCCCAATTTGATCATTTAATGTAAACTACGTAAAGCCATATTTTATTAAGTGATATGTTTTGTTATGTTCCAAATAATTGTATGGAAATAAGTAATCCTCCCAAAGATCACTAGGCTTTAGTTGTTAAGTCAAATAAGACTTTTAAACCAGATATGGCTTATAACACACAAAACACCCACTATAAAACCAATTGACACCAACAACAATCTCTTCCAATAAATTGTTGACGGTGATAACTTTAGAAAAACCAAAGATATCTCGCACACCGCCTGTCCGAATTTTACGCAGATATTCTCTGAAATTATGCGTTTGCAGTGGTGGAGCCGAGTGCTATTGGTTTGATGTACTACTTCATCATTAAGGTCTCGAGGTTTTTCTCGGTAAGCATGTCGTAATTTGAGAGATGAACATTAGCTCTTTGAGATATATCAATAGACGAGGACTATATTGATGTTTTGTCATTTTCTTCGACGTTTATTTTGTCCCACTCGTATTGCTACATGTGCTACTATGATATGATGGTACTTTGAGTTTTCAGGACGGTATACCGGATTACTAAATATGTTGTGAGTACCATTATTAGTAGTACTATATTCGGCTATTAAATGATATTTATCTTTCACCGATAATATCGCTACATATCATTTCTTACAAATTTTCTTCTGGTTTTTGTTTAAGCTATTCATACACCGATAAATAGCGTGAATTTTCGACTTCAAACAAATTTCCTACTTTTCTTAAAACTTGAATTCCAGATTAGGCTCTTTCTTTTCTCTACTATTCTAATTTAATTTTTTATCTTATTATACTGTTGCGTCACCGATTCAATACGATTCCGGTTATGGATTGATTTCTTGCTTGTCATACCATTTACTTGAGATAGTCATATAGTTTCTACTGCTCGGATTTCTGATGATTTAATGTGGCTCAATAGTGACAAAGTTTACTCATTTTTGTGGCCCTAATATATCTCCGTTAATTTACTCTTGTCAAGATTTATTCATATTATTACATAAAGTGACACTTATTTTGGTCAGAGATCACATTATATTTTCCTACTTATATTACAAAAATTACCAGCCCATGTGAATTTTTATGCACAATTAAATTAGACGGTTTCAGTTAGATGAATTTGGAAAATGATCGCACACATAAATTAACACAAGTTTGTTCGAGTGCAAAAATATTGAATCGATTGCAATACTCCATAGATACTAAGATATACTGTTTAAAAATTGGAAGTCATATTTAACATTTCAAAAAATGTATTAGGTTACATTCCATGTTAAAACGTTAAAAATTCTAAATTGCATTCCATATCTTTACACATGATAAGCAGGTGCTATGATAGCATGCAAACAGGTACTATAATAATTTGAAATTTTTTTAGCAATCATACTTCGATTCTTCTCCTCTCTTTTGCTTGATTAAAGCTTAGTTTATTGTTTACGCTTGTAATTTTGAATTCTAATTAGCATGCAATTCATGATTTGAAATTTTCACAACTAATTCATAATTTTATCTCTCATGCATTGATAATTCTGACATTTTGCACAGCCTTAGAATATATTGTTCACATATAATTTAATTTACATATTTCTGCGTGCAGCATGTAACGCTAGTATATCACTACGGTTATTTACAATGCTTGTCACCATCGATGGACTTGTTAAAGTATTGGTTTCTTTCGTTGTAAATAATTATTTTCGACGTGTTAAATTATTTTACATCAGCACATGTACATCTTCATATCTTCAAGAAGTAAATTTACAAATTCTGATATCTGCTGAATATAGTTTGTCATTTTTGTTGCTCAACATACAAAAGATTCACTAATGTTTAGATTGAATTGTCTAATTTGAATTTAATCGCTGAATTTACTTCTTGAAGATATGAAGATATATATATGTATCGATGCAAGATAATTTAACATGTCGAAGACAACGATTTATAACGAAACAAAGCAGTACTTTAACGAATCGTCGATGATGACAAGCCTTTTTTTTCCTTCATCAGTTCGACTGTTCGTCTATTTACTCACTAAGCTATTGGCCTAGCATTCTAAGCTTAACTGATCATTTAATAGTTTTAGTTTTGAAAAGGTAATCATTATAGGGCAGAAATTTTACTCATTCAGTGCAGAAATTAGACGTAGTTTTTAACAGCTTCATAGATTTAAGCTTTCAATGCATTTATTATTAATTTAAACTTTCAATACATTTGTTATTATTTTCTTTAACAGATATTTAAATATAATTTTGAGATATTTCGTATCAGATATAGTAGTAAACATTGATATGCTCGTAAAGAAAATGAAAGCTACAAGATATCAATAATCAATAAGACTATTTTGTTTAATTCATTCCTAATCAAACTATTGATAAATTATAGAAGTTTAGAAAAAAACAATAACATAATTAACACATTTAAACAATTCAAAAAAAAAGTATTTCAAATTTAATTTTAGGAAAAAGAAATCTGAAAAAAGGACCTATTTTTTTTTGATTGGTATCAGTATGCACATACATGTATATGTATTGATGCTAAATGGAAGACATTTTCACATCGTTTAAAAATTTTCGCAAAGAATGCTCGTTCTATCTAAACTGAAGCATTGATGTATACTTGTGTGATATATATGTATGTATGTGTGTGTGTATATATATATATATATGTGTGTATATATGTATGTGTATATGTGTGTGTGTGTGTGTGTGTGTATGTGGAGTATATGTGTATATATGTTTAAGTATTTGTGACTAGTTGTTATAAGAAGTGACTGTTTCATCATTACTATCATTTTATATAACATTAAATTTATTCTCATTTTTCACTTTCCTTCCTCTCTCTTACTCTTTAATGGTTAATTTTTATATTTGCCAACTTTTGTTTCAATTAGTTTCATTTTTTTCGTTCCTTTTACTATATACCTTTATATGAAACCATCTATATATATATATAAATAAATAATATATATATATATATATCTTTGCTAATCTAATAAAAGTTGAAGATGTAAACGTAAACGGTAGTCTTTTTTTTTTGTTTACAATTTAAGTAATTGATTTTGAACTGCTGTTTTGAAACTCTTGTTTATTTAGTCATATATAGTTAGCTTTAGACTTTTATCTCTTTGTGGATGTTATTTATGTGTTTAGATCTTCCTTCATCTCACAAATTAATTGTTGCCCATTTTTGTTTTTAATGTTTATGATTGATGAGTTTTATGGCTTTCCATTTGTTGGCTTATTTTGATTACTTTATCTAAATTGTTTACTATTTGCCCTAGGGAATCATGCTTACTGAAGCAGAAGTTTTAATGAATGATGAGATGAATTATATGAATTCATGTTTCGCCTGAATTGTTCATTATCAGAAAAGGATATTAGCATTATTGCAATTGACAAATTCCCTAGTAATATAATAATGTATGAAAAATTTTTCCCATTCATTTGCTATTTTTTGAAGAAAATTAAACTTAATGAAATATATTTTTTAGAGAATTGGATGGAATGTTAATCTTTTTTTCTAAAATTATTTTATAGCGAAAGAATGAAGGAAGCTATATCAATGAAGGAAGCTATATTGTCGAAATGAAGGAAGCTATATTGCCCGTTTAGATGTAAATAATGAATAAATTACGAATAATTTAGTTGTATTAATAATAATCATTATGTGTTCGTTATAAAATCTGAAACATTGTATCTAACGTTGAATGCAAAATTCATTATTGTGGTTTTGTCTTTTTCAAATTTGCAGAAAAGGGAGTAAAAAAGGTGAACGTCCTTTATTTATCAATTTATGTTCTAGTTACATCATTGATAACAGTTGTCAGTTTAACACTACTGACAATCGTATTTCAATCAGTTATATTCGTTCAATTCTTCTTAAAGTTAGCGTTCCACATTACTAACGAGAGAAACAAAATTATAACAATAAGTTTAGAGCTAAATTATACGATTGAAATTTATACCACGATTTCATTTCTGTTGAATGTTAAATTTGATCAGTAATTTTAATTTCAGATTTTGAGAATAATAGCAAGATAGCGAGTGCTACATTGCTTGACAAAAATAACATAGCATAAAAATAAATAAGCTTGACTAGCATTATGCAATTTTGCGCTTTAACTCATTAAGCTCTTGGTTTAGGGTAATTATCTTTCTCCTTTTTTTTTTTTTCATATCAATAACGAAAGATGTATAGCCAATTGTAAACAATAGATAAAAGTATTGCTAATTAAAAAAAATGATGTAAACAATAGATGAAAAGTAAAGATCAGACAAATGATACTTTTATATTAACGATTGCTTTAATGGAGAAGTTTACTTTTAGCCTTTTCTTCCTTTGGACATTTTTTGTTTCAGGGTAATACTAAATTTTTTCTTCTCTTTTTTTTTGTTTTAACAAATTTTAAAATCCCAATTGTTTTTTTAATTCTGAGGTGTGTAAATTTCTTTCTAAAAGAGAGAGAGAGAGATAGAGAGAGGTAAGGAGAGAAAGACATACTGATAGATGAATTGATGCGTAGAGAATGGGATGGATGATTGTCATTTTGCAAATAGTGGCTTCATTTTCCCTCTTTTTTTCTTTTAGAAAAATTTCAAAAAGTTTAATGAACGAGCCATTTTATTGATCGATTGATGATGTGATATGAAGTGAAGATAAGATAAGACGAAAAATTTGTTGAAGAGGTGATGTTTGGATGTTTATTGGGATCATTTTGCTTGCTGATTAATTAGTTATGTATGTAATTTCCTTACTCATTTGCTTATTTCTCTCTGATTGTCTGGCTATTATTTTTTTTAAGTTTTAATTTTCTCATTTATTAACGAAGGCTATTGTCATAAACTTTATTAGCTGTTGTATTATTTTTTTTTTAACTAGCTGTCTATTTCTTATTGATTTCTTACTTCTTTTTCCATTTCACATAGTTTCCGCAGATTATTTCTTTTCTTTTTTTGTAATATAACTTATAGTATTAATTATTTTGTAGGGGCAAATGTGGAAAGTATCGATTATCGACCGGTTTGATATATATCATAGAGAAAATGCAACGGTTACAACAGCCTATCGTTTTTCTTTTTTGAAAATTCTTGTTTAATCGGGAAAAGTATGTTTTTATTTCAAAAATTGTTTCGAAAGTATTGATGATGTGATGACAGAAGGAAAACGAACATTTTTTCCTTAACTCTTTGAAGGAAAAAATGCAAACCTATACATAACACATACACACATACACACATGCATTTATATCTGCACATCTTAAATTCACAATATAAGAAGATTGGTGGCTTTGAAAAATTAATTCTAATCGAGTGAGATTAATTTTCATTTTGCATATTGAAAGAAACTAAAGATTGCTTTGGTTTTTTTGTTTTTTTGCTAGCATATGTTAATAATATCAATCTATTCCTTGACTTACTTATTGAATCTTGCATACTTTTTTCATTTTATTGTTCCATTGTTTTCGCATTCTTCGTACTTCATCCCTTTCTCAAGAGCTAAACCCTGCTATATTATGTGTTTTGACAGCTGACATTAGGGCTTCTTTCAGGATATCATTCGAGTCGGACGATGTGCACAGTTGCACTGTTACCGCTAAGTGATGCTTTGCAAAACTTGAGCCATTTCCGATCATTGTAATAGTTTATTTATTGATATATTTAAATAGAAATCACTCAGTTTATTTTCATTATTCAAACAAAACGAGTGCATTACCAAAATTGGCATTATGAGTTCGAAGTTCAAAGTTCGATATATGAAATCATGTACGCCTGACAATGCATTACGCAAATACCTGACAACGGTCAGGCGATTTTGCACATTGCACAATTTTTTTTTTCTTTAAATTCTCTCTCTTATCCATCATTCTTTCGTAGAATGTACAGCGTCATTCGATGATTTGTCATTTTGATTAGCTGAGATGTTTCAAATATTTTTATATTCGTTTCAGATTTTTATTCCAGTCCAGAAAAGCAAAAGTGTATTGCTGTGGACTTCTAATTTTTTAGATTGCATCATATTGAAGAAAGTGGATGGTGATTATCACCCTGTTCCATTGCTGCTGTTATTAATATCTGTTCCTTCTGGATACTTACTGATTTACTTGTGGAGATCAAAATTTGAAGGCGTCTACTGTTCCTGTTGCTAGGTTCAAGTAATTTTTTTATTCTGCTCCCTATTCTGCATCCATTTTTGCTTCCACTTGCATCTCATAAATTCTTGCTTTCTTCCTTTCTACTCCATCCATCCGCTCATTCATTCATTTATATTTTAATTTTTTCATTTCTTCATTTTATTGAAATCAGTTACTTTCCTACTTCGACTATCAATATAGTATTATGGCTGATGTTGTTCGTCCGAATCCAATCTCGTGGCAACATACTGTGGAGTCGAGTGAGGGAGATCCATGCAGGTATGAATTTCCGCCTAAAATTCGAAAAGTGTCTCCGTTATCGCTATCATAAATTTTTATTTTTTACCGGAAACACTTCACCCATTATTAACGTTGCTGTTAACTTTTGTAGACTATAATTTTTTTTGAAAAATTTCTAATTTCAAAGACGTTACCGGTATTAACATCTTATACTTTTTGTATTTATGTCGTAGAGTCAAAACATTCTCGTTTCATGGATTTCTTTTTTGCAGCTCAAACGATACATCAGTGCCGGAAGAGCTTGCCCTTCTTGCCGATAAGTATACATTCAGTTTTGGTGAGCAAAAATCACTGCAAAAAGATGTGATTGAACTAAAGAAAAAAATACGAATCTCATGTAATAAACAGATGCGTATTAAGCAAGGATATGTGCAAATGCAGGTAAACCCAATTTGGGAACTGCTTAGTTATTCAAATTAAGTACTCAACCAGATAATTCCATATTACGCATGAAGAGAATTTATTCACACAACTGGCTATAGTATCCTTGAAGTGTGAGAAAAACAGGTTTCGTAAACATCTCAAAACAGTATTGTTAACTTCTTTTAATCATTTCTTCTCCTTTTTGTGCTCTGTTTTGCATAAGAAATGCCATATACCATTTATGTCATGTGGTATAAAAACTATAGGAATGTTAAACATACAAAGTTTTCGCACTTTGTGCAGTATTGTCATAGATGAAGTTTATTGTTCAGTTGAACGCTAAATACTGATTTATTTGCTGTTGTTAAAATTCCTAATATTTAATTTGATATTATCTTCTAATATTATTTTCCAGATAGCTACTTAAATTGAACTAAACTATCAGATTCCAAAACCAAATAAAGCAATAATGGTCCCTTAAAAGTAATCCCCTTAACAGTAATCTCCTTTTTTCTACCACATTTATAGTCTGTTTTTTCATCTCTCATTACAATTCAGATAAAATCTTCAAATCTTGAACAAATACTTAGGAGCTGGTAAAATTTTCGATAGAACACTTTTGAAATTTGTAGTAGAATATGCGGAATTGTATTCCTTTCTGTATTTGATGTTTGTAGAAAGTGACAAAGGAAAGAAAGCAATCAGATTTTCTGAAAAAAGAAATCCGAGATTTGAGTGATCAGATCAGTGATATGAAAGATGATTTGCAAACACTGGACATGTATGACAGTGGTGCATTTGGTAAGTTTCTTTCGTCGTCCTTCTGCTTTATTACCTAGTATCCAATGAGTTTAAACATGTGAAATGGGAAGAGACGAGCAACGAAGTTTTATTCAGATTCCCTTGAGGAGTAGAAAGCTATATGAATTTATGCTTACATCTTTCTTCTTTCACAAGTTGTTTGTAACCAAATTTCAAATGAGTGTCCTAATTCACAGCAATTAGTAAAATCTGTGCAATTTTAGTGCCTTTAGTTATCCCTCACAAAAAATGAAATGGAAAATTTAAAGCAAAACAGAAGACATTAATGAAGAAAAAGTACATTATAACACTATTGAAGTTTGAAATGTCGGATTTATAATTTGTGGAGATTTTTGATTAGTGCTGAATGTGCGTATAGGTTGTTTGTATCAGGCTGTTTTTCCCACTTCTTTTTTGTTACACATATGGCTCCATTTCTGGTTGTTACCAGTTTGAAGTTTAATAAAAAGAAAAAATCAAGGAAAAGGAAATTGTGTTGGAGAACTCCATTCAGAAAAGATAAAATCGAAATTTAAATGGAGATGAGTTTATGCACTATTTGTTAAATATATTAGAAGGTTGTGGTCTTAAATTCTCTTATGAGACATAGAAAAAGAAGTTTTTCCATTCATACGCAGGAGATAAACTCGTAGAGACTGCTGGAATATGATCTACTGAAACTTTCAATAATTCTGATTCAAAAATTCGCCAATGAGAATACTTTGCTTATGTCATTCAGAGATTTTGTTGCATAAAGAATAATGAGGATCGATGTAATTTTAAAGACTCCTTATCAATTTGGACGTGAATACTTTTGTGAAGAAAAATTTCGAATTTTTGTTCACGTTTTTGGAAGCTTTACTACTAAGCAATACGAATATAAACAGTATGAATATAAGCTGGTGGTATAACATGAAGAAAGTGTCGCTTGAGAGTATTCGTTGAAATAGTGTGATCAAGCAGAAATATTTAAAATTTAATGAAGCTATTATAATATCTGTACTTGCAAGTTTTCCACGAACGAATTCTCCATTGTCCAAAACAAAAAAAATTTTGTATGATGTTTACATATTCAGTATTTAAGATTTTCGTTGTTGTAGATGATGGTGATGATATAAATGGCATACCAAATTTGCCTTCAGAGGACGCTTTGACAACAGATGGTTCTTCTGATGGTGCAGTTCTCGAACTAAGTACCGAGAATGTGGAAACCGTGACAAATAACCGGCTTGCTAGCTTACAGGTCGTTTTTTTTCCTTTTTGTATATTAACAGTTCATTCCGTATTATTATTTATAGTAAGTTAGTAGTAAAGGAAAACCGTTAAAATCATCTAACACAAATATTTTGTAACTGTAGAAAGAGTTGGACAAAGAGATGAAAGTGAAAAATGGTCTTGAACGTTTCCTTGCTATTGGTCAAACAAATCGTAAATTACAAGAAGAATCAAAGAGTATGTTATTCGATTTGAAAGCAAAAATTGCATTACTTCGAATGCAAATCGAAAAAATGCAACGGCAGGAGCAAGTTGATTCTGGCTTATCGGGTATGTAACACAATGAAATATTTTCATAAATTTTTTTTCTTCTACATTATTTAGAAACATATGCTCCTTTAAATGAAAATAGTAGCAAAATTTCCATAGCCTTTATAAAGTTTATCTTTCTCTTTGTCTCCACTTCCTCGTCCTATTATCTCAGCTATTCATAGTCGTAAGCGCAGATAAGGAACAGCATTTTTGATGATTTAACTCTAGATGAACATTTACCAGAATCGTGAAAGAGAGGAAGATGTTGAGATTGTTAACGTCATGAAAGGACGATTATTAAAAAATTTAAAAGTTACCATGGCTTTGTGATATTTCTTTCATCATATTTTTCTTCAGGGAAAACGATACCAACAAAGACAGAAATGATCGTTGATGATCTTCTCTTTAGGCTTCGCAAAGAAGCTGCAATTGCTGAAGGAGCTCGGAATATGATCAGGTAGATTTAAAAATAAAAGACTGGAATTCATCTTCATTCGGGACATGAGGATGAAGATAATTTTTTAATATATTTCATGAATTAATTTTCATTTCAGGACACTAAGTAGTCAAAGAAAAAGTGATGGGAAAAGTCTTTCGCAGGCCTTCGATAATCAAATGCAATCTGAGGAAAAACTTGATATTATACGATTAGCTTTAGCCAAATACAGGTAATTAATTATTCAAAGTCTCTGAATTTCGCATTTTTGTACTGTGTAAAAACATTCTATTAGTCTAGTTCTTGTCGCTGATCTGAAGTTCAAAATAAACTTTGGCGTATTACGTGGCATAGTTCGTTATTGATTTCAAGAATATGGAACTTTTTTCTATATTTTGTTTGGCCCCATTTACGATAAATCATAGAAAATCTTTTTACTTCTTTTAGTGCGCGGTTGCCAAATGATTCACCGAAAAAAAATGAAATTCGTGACGCCATTTTGGAATCGGAGCGTTTATCTCTCACGGGTTATCATCATCATCGTCGCGATAGAACATTCAGTCCGCCGAGTTCTACTCCTGGAAGCCCATCACAGGTTTTTTTACTCCTTTTGCAGGCATTGGTTATTTTCTCCTGTTGTAATATATCTTTTCTACTTTTTGTGTATGCAAACTATTAATTTATTTTTTGAATGACGTTTGTAAAGATCGGAATTAATTTACATTATGCCAAACTGCGATTATCGTTGATTGTGCATCTCTGCAAAATCTATGAAACCAATATACATTTTTTTTGCATACATATTAATTTTCTTCCGAAGACTTTAAATAGTAGACAAATTTATATAAATGTTTCAAACGATTCACATCACAAGGTTCTTTCCTGATCATGTCAATTATGCATTTAGCTCTTCATCTTAGATATTAAACTGAAGTTGCTGTGTAGAGATCATTCATCTTATATCTATTTAAGCACTACAGAAATTGGAGCTAGGCGGAAATGCTGAAATCATTCCATATTGTTCAACATGCTAGACCAGCTGTTTAGGTGAGCTGTTTAGCATACATTCATTCTTTTGCAGGATGATTCGAAATCTTCAAGCCTTCCACGTTTAGCTCTTCCATTGACACGGCTTTGTGCATTGCCATCATTAGCTGTTAGCGGACGTCTAGAAGTGAGGTAAAAATTACGCCTGAGATAATTATAATTTATAACTTTTTTTTGTTTTAAATGGGAGAGAGTAAGGATAATAGAGAAAAGAAAAACTGGAATGGTGAGCAGTTTTGGGGAGAAGTAAGTCATTTAAACCATTTATTTTGTTAACTTAAAAAGAACGAAAAATCAAACAAATTTTTGCTTCTAAATATTAATCGTATTTGGAAGACAAAATAATTGAACTTTTAAAAAAAGTTCAATTATTTTTAGATTAATTGGCTGTCAAAATCTAATGGTCGACATACCTCGTCGTTTACCGCGAACAGAAGTCTCATCAATGGTTGCAATTGCTGGTGATAGTCTGTCTGGTTGCACGCAGAGAACACGTAGCACACGTGGGAGCGGTCCACGAGCACCATGGTATGCTGTAGTTTTCTTTCTTCCCACTGTTACGATTTGAAAGGGCTAAAGTAATATTCAACAACTATGGTGGCATCGATGTTTGGAATGCTAATGGAATGAACACGAGAATCTGAAAGTTGCGTTTTTAACCTTTACGGTCGAATTTGTGGCATGCTTTCCAAGTTATTGAACCATATAAATTAATCTACTAGCTAGTCGTACAATCAATGATTTATAAAGGAAAACGGGAGAAAGGATCAATGCTGTATCGTATATCGCAAATTTGCCAGTAAAAAATATATTGTACAGCTGTTTAAGTTTCATACTTTTACGAATTTTTTTTTGTTTTATGCTTCTCAAATTTTTTTTTGGTTGCTTTGAGCTGAGATTTATTATGTTTTATGAATATATCAGAAATATTAGCGTTATAAATATAAATTTATTAGTCGAGTGAAAAACCTTGTGCCAATAGATCTGAGTAGAAATTACAAAAAACATTAAGCAAGAGAAAAATTGAACGTCTGCTATTTTATTTTATAAAAGTTTCAGGGCATATTACTGTTGAGATCCTTAGTTATCTTTTCATATAATTAGAACATACCGTTTGTCATTTGTCAATTTTTTGCATAGGAATGAAATTTTGCAATGATTATTGGAAATTGCTAAATGAATTTGTTTGATTAAAAATCATAAAAAAGATAATGCAAAAGAGTCACCGTTTCTAATAGTCAATTAATTTATTAAAATAGAATTAACTAACTGAAATTAAGCACAATCTAAGAGCTCTCAGGATGATCATAAATTTTTCAAATACATTGCATATCATTTAATGATTCATTTCTCATTTTCTATAGTATCTGCTGGATCTCAAAATTTTTTTTTTCATTTTTAAATTGAAAGCTTTTTTTAATGCTTTATCACATTTAATATATTTCATTTAATATTTGAGTAAATCAAAATTATGATAATAAAAAAATCAAATCATATTTTAGCGGAACAACAAAATTCTCGCCAAATGATGAAGTTACGGCAACAGTCTTACTAGACAGTCGTGAAGTGGCTACCACCGATTCACGGCCAGCTTCACAACAAGCATGGGATCAACATTTTAGTATCGATTTAGATAGGGTTTGTTGGTTTCTCGAATAGCTAGAGCTTAAATATTTGCAATATGCAAAAAAGTCACAATAAAAGTGTTAAAATAAGAACTAGAAGATCGGGATTAGAGTGAGGTTTTTGTTAAGGGAATAAAAAGTATAGTTGATTATTCTTAGAAGCAAAAATTTGTTTATTTGAAGGTAGCTCAGTTACTTTCTTCTTAAAAGTTCTTTGCTCGATATTGATACATTTTCAGTCAAAAGAATTAGAAATTGAAATTCGATATCGTGATTGGCGCTCCATTTGTGCATTTACGGTTGTCAAATTAGGCGATATAGTCGAGCCGTCGGAACGAGCTGGTATGGTGTTGAAGTTGGAACCCCAAGGAGATCTGTTTGTTGAGGTTTGTGTAACTGGTTTTTTTATAAAATGATCTTTACGTGTTGTTATGCCAATTTTATTTTATCAAGTAATACTACGAGGTAATTAATAGAGCATTATAAAGGAATGAGAGGTTTTACGTGCTATTTTTTGATTTTAATTTAGTCTTCTGCCTAGTTCACTTTTGTTTTATCTTTAGCAAATAATTTCATGTTTCAGTTCAAATATTTGAATCCAGTTATCAGTAGGAAGCCTAAGCTTGAACGACAAAAGCGCCTTTTCAAAGTAAAAGGTATTTTAGAAGCTGTCAGATTTTTATCGATAATGTTCCTTTCTTTTCTAAACCTATACGAGTATATTTCCAAATTGCATATCATCCGAAACGAAGATTTGGCACATGTCCATCTTAGTAAAGTCTGCTATGTCTAAGCAAGTTTATGTAAATTTTAGTGATTAAATTTCCTAACGGTTGCGAAGCGACTCGGAATTTTGAATGTTAGCACATTTTGTTTCATTTTTAACTTAGCTACCGGTGGTGTAAAGAAATAAATTTAGGCAGCCAAACTAATGGTAGCACTTGCCTAAATTTTTTAAATCTTCCGATTATTCTCACCATATTTTTTGTCTTTATTCGTTCTTTTCCTTTTTTTCTATTGCGGGTCTTTCAGTTTAATTGGGTTGAAGTGGAAGACGGAGTACGGTATATTTAAAAAATGATTTATTCATTTTTTAGAAAGGAAAGAAATAGCGAGTGCGAAGAAGCAGCTTGGCGTTGCCGCATGGAGCCGCTTAATGAAGCAATTTGGAGGTTCACAGTCGAATGAAAGTATCGAGCCAATTTTAAGCCCGACATACAGTGGTTTATATGCTTCTACTACCACTAATACTACTGCCACTGGTAACTATTGTTGTTTTTGTTCACAATGAACAAACTTTTGTAACTTAGATTTTATTAATTCAGTATATTATTGCCATGATCTTTCTTTTTATTTCAATAAACTCTTAATTGAAAACATTTCTATTTACAATCCTAACAGATGTATCGACTCTCTTGACGACAGCAAGCTTTAAGTTGCAAGTTTTAAATTAAGTATGCATCTATAATAAAGCAGCGACAATTATTTTTTTGTCAATGTTAAAAATTTTTTACTTACAGCTTCTTTACCACCGGTTTCAAAAACTGCTCACACGTTACCATCAAATCTGACTGCAGATCGACCTTTAATTTCACCCGCTTCTGGATTATTTGCTCCAGAAAGTAATCATATGCGTCCAGCATTTACGACTCCTCTTCCTAGTTCCAATCGTTTTGGAGATATTTCAGAAATGTCGAAAACAAAGCAGAATCAACGATTCCATGAAAAACCAAAAGTATTGATCTCTTTTTTCTCTTTATTTTTTTTTAATTCCTTCGATTCGAAATACTTATTGATATCAAGCATGCAGTCTCAAATATCCGGTAATTAAATACGTAATACTTTATACATCTTGTAAAGCTCACAACTGTATGCGTTTCACTCCAGCATGCATCTTGCAAACATACAGTCAGGATTGCTGGTCAAAATTCAAAGTGATCGAAATTCACTTCATTCGAAAAAAACTATTTTCAGATACCATCAACAACACCGTCCCGACCATCTTCAAAGAATCAAGTTGCAGTGTCTCGCATCGAATCTCCACCACCTTTGCCAGCATCCAAACCGCCACCTCTAACACGTAAAAAAACTTCACGAATCACTTCACCTACGTTCTCCAGTCTTACGATCGACAAGTTTCAGCTTATTTCCGTTTTAGGAAGAGGGCACTTTGGAAAAGTTTGTTTTTAATGTACAAAATTCGGTTTTATGACAACATATAGTAACTCATGTATGAGATATAAATTATAATAACCTTTAAAAGGAGACAGAGTAGGGAATCAGGGTGACTGTGAGTAAAAACCTGTAATATATGTAGGTTTATTGGTCTGGAAAAATGGCACTCAGTTTATGCCTCTCAAAAAAATATTTTATGCTGCTTTTACAAGGCAATAATTATTTTTTGAAAACAATAAATTTTGCTTCCTCTTATTTTGTGCTCCTCTCCTCTCTTTTCCGGTGTACTATTAACTAAAGAAATCATTTTAATTTCAAAAATTTGAAATGTAATACAGGTTATACTTGCTCAGTACAAAGGAAATGGAGAATATTATGCTTTAAAAGTGCTGAAAAAAGGTGATGTGCTTGGTCGTGATGAAGTGGAATCACTGATGGTTGAAAAAAAGATTTTTGAGGCTTGTATTCCATTTTTAATCTGATTTTTTAATATAATTATTTCAGGCAGCACCTGCTTATTGATATTTCTTAGATGTAAAGTTTTATTAAAGTTGCAGCCATAAGTTAATAAGGTCAAATCATTTCTGAAATAATTTTTTCAGAAGTTAGTGAAATTTTGCAAATTGATATTTTTTGTGACTTAACTTTAACTTTCGAACATTTAGTTGCTCATTTCAGATTGCAACATCTCGTCGTCATCCTTTTCTCGTGAATCTTTTTGCATGTATACAGTCAAAGGAACATGTTTTCTTTGTCATGGAATACTCAATGGGTGGTGATCTTATGCGGCATATACATGACGATATTTTCACCGAAGAACGGAGCTGTTTTTATGCAGCTTGTGTTTTATTAGGACTTGAATTTCTGCATGCTAATAACATCATTTATAGGTGAGAATAGTTGGAGTTATAAAAAGTTCTTTTTAAATCTTACGGAAATCAACGCAATAAAATGTGTAGGCGTATGTAGAAACTGAAGAATTAAGATTATCTTAAAGAAAGAAATTTATATGAAATAGGAAATTAATATAAGTTCTGCAGAAAGAATGTCAATCTAAATTCACATCATTTTTTTAGGGATCTCAAACTGGATAATCTGTTGCTAGATCAAGAGGGTTATGTGAAATTAGCTGATTTTGGTTTGTGTAAGGAAGGTATGGGGCCAACTGACAGGACTTCAACGTTTTGCGGTACTCCGGAATTTCTTGCACCCGAGGTTTGGTTTTCGTGATTAGTTTTTTATAGGGCTTTTTTAGGAAATCATCTTTTATCGAATTTTATAAATGTAGATCGTTTAATGTTGCTTTTGATTATTTACCTACCATCACTTTTATTTTTGTACAGCGTAGCATATCTCTATGTCAATACTTATTCATGGTAAGACCGCAATTGATGCAGTAAAAAAGATTTGATAAAATGTCTGTTTATTTATATATGTAAAAAGCTTTTTCATCATTTAGGTATTGACTGAGAATAGTTACACTCGTGCAATTGATTGGTGGGGACTTGGTGTGCTGATTTTCGAAATGTTGGTGGGTGAAGTAAGTGTGATATCTACGATTTTTTTCCTCGATCGTTGTATATATTTGTTCCGGCAAAGTGCAACATATAAGCTAAGAAACTCATTTCCAAATTTACGATATCAGAAGAAGTCAAGTGGTTTTTATGTTAATCTGAAAAAATTTTACCATTCATAAATATACATAGAACATAATTATAATTATACCATAATTATAGCCACCGTTTTCCGGTGAAGATGAGGAGGAGATATTTGATTCCATTGTAAATGATGATGTGCGATATCCACGTTTCCTTTCTATCGAAAGTATATCAATCATGAGAAGAGTAAGTTTTTCTTACCTTCTTAGAATTTTGCGATCCGTAATGTGTGGATCCTTATTAGCGGATAAAATCCAAAAAAATTATGCATTTCATAGTTATACTGCCAAAGATTGGTGATATATACAAAATATAGTGATATCAGGCATCACTAAATTTTGAATCAAATATCGAGGTTGTAGAAAAAATTTTATTTTACATCTCGATCAGACTGTTTCTTTTTTATTTCAATGCTACTTGTAAGAATATTGCAAAATGTTAGTTTCCTGATGTATAAATGCATAAATGTACGAAATAAAATTAAAGTAGAAGGTGTTGCACATACAAAATCGTGATTATTTTCTGAATTTTAACACAAGCTCATGTAGAATTTTCTTTTATTTCAGCTTATGCGGAAGAATCCTGAGAAACGTTTAGGTTCTGGGCAAAATGACGCCCTCGAAGTAAAGCAACAACGATTTTTCAAGGTTACAGTTGAAGTTTTCTTTCAGCATAGCAATTAATTTTCAGTCTTTTTTCCGATGGATGTTTTGTTAGTTTTCTTACCTGTTGCTCTGAGTACCACTATAAAAAGTAAGACGTAATTCTTTTGTTCCACTTCTCTGAATGAAGCATTTAAAGTGTATGTAAAATGTTGAAATATAAAGTAGAACTTCACATCTTGAATTTTATTACTCATGCTTATTAATCTTAATAATTCTTGGATGTGCCGTATATCTCATTAATGTCAAAAATAATTTATTACAAAAAAAATATATTTTAACTGTTTGCAGCATGTGAATTGGGATTGGGATAAGCTTTTGAACAAAGAAATCAAACCGAAATTTGTTCCACAAATCGTATGTCGATCCTTTTTCTCATTTTTTGCTTTCGCAAGATTATTATAGCAACCTTTGTTTATCATTAATTTGACTAGACAATTCTGATGGCTGAGAATATAAAATCAGTTTTGTGAATTGTTTTTCAGAAAACTGTTTTCAGAAGAGTCTGGAGGATGTTAGTAATTTTGATGAAGAATTTACGAAAGAGACACCACGCTTTTCATCAGCGAAGGACAAACGACCCATTACTGATGCTGACCAGATGCTCTTCAAAGATTTTGATTTTTCTTTGATTCATTAACTAGAAGCTGTTATTTCGTTCCTGAATTTCGTTTTTATTTGTTTTTATGCAGGAACCAGCAGAGAGTGCCTTCTTTTCTTGTTATCCTTATTTGCTTGTGATTATAGAATGATGCGTTTAAATAAGAAAAAATGTATTCCCTTCCGTGTAATTTCAAAAAAAAGTAATTTATTTTCCATAAAAACCAAAGTAGATCCTTTCCGATTGATTTGTTGGATGGTTGGATGTGCTTTCTTCTAAACTTTGTCGTCAGAGTTTCAAAAATTGAGGATATTAGCCGATGCTGTATTTGACTTTTCTTGGAAGCTTAAATTTGAAACTTCAAGACAGTTTCAAAAAATCTTAAGTTATTAACTGGATTGTATTTGGTTTTATTTCGAAGCCATCTTTATTTCTTTGCATTTATTTTTTTGCTCTATTTCATTATTTTGCTTCATGTGTTTTGCACTCGATGTCTATTGTCGCATTCATTTTCGCTGTTTCTCGGTTTAGATTTTAGTGCAGTAGCAATTTCTTGTTTTTGAATTTTCTTAATCATTAAATTATTTCATCAGTTATTCTACAGAATCAGAAATTTCTTCTTTGTTAACTCTGTTTTAGTATCATTTTTCGATTGTTTTTTTCTACGAAATTTTTTTCAAAATTTTCATTAACCTTTCTAATATTTATTTCATTTGGAAGGAAAAGACAGCTGAATGCTTGCTACATTTGCTCTATTTCTTTGTGATAAGTGGTATCACTTCAAAATTTAAATTGATTTCTAATCGCTTAAACCGCCTCTTGCTTACAGTTCTTGTTTTAACAAGCCTGTATAGTATGTTGGCCAAACTTTGCTCGTTTTTTTTCTTTGGATGATTGCGAGAAGGAAATTTAATCTTACATCCTATTTCTTACAAGGTCTTATTATCATCTATTGTTCTTCCATGGAGTTTTTAAAATTTTCGTGGAGAACAAACTTTAGTTTAATTTTAACGAACGAAAAATAAAGACAAATTTTCTGTTACTTTTATCTTTCGCATATTTCAATTAGACAATAATTTCGTTTCTTCTCGGATTGAGACAGTGCAAAATGTGTTATTTCTCTATATCGTGTTCTGAAAATACTTTATGTTATTATTTTTAATCCGGCAAACTAAATTTAAAATTCTCATAGCTGTAATTTCGAGAATTATTGCAGTACCGGTTGCTAAACTAGGGAACGATTTTGCATTTCAAATTATTTTTGATTGTAATTTTTATCTGATAATTTGACCGTTTATTGATCATTTATTTCATTTTCTGAATTTCGGTGTTAATAAGATGTTATCTTTAGACTGAGCAAAGTACTTTATATATGCAAGGATATTCCTCTGTTAGAGTTTCCTCTAGTTTAATTTTAATATATTTTGGAATTTTTTTTAATTTGTTATCTATTTTTGATAGAAATTTTCGTTATTTTAGATGTTATATGGGAAAAATTAATTTTTCAAGAGATAGGCTAATATTTTATGAGGAACAAATAGCGTATTTACGACTATTTAGGAATAACATTGTATGTTTGTTTTAATTGAATGATGTACTTTTCTATTAATTAATTAAATAAAAAGTTTGTATTAATTGGAAATAATGATTCATTCGTTAACAGCGTGAAAATATACTAGCATTACAAATGCTTTCATATTCAATTTGCTAGTATTATGTTTGGAAGCATAATTCATGTTATATATGCTATGTGGCTAATATTTGGGAAGAATGTTTGCGCTATTGTTGCATTTTTGTTATACTAAATGGGAAATTTTGCAACACATTTTCATTACGGAAGTGAAATTTTGTTTTTATTAATTGAAATTTTACAGCGATTTGGTTTGTTTCAAGTATTTCAATTTTTTAAAGTCTTATTCAAAATAGCAAACAAACATTCGAGTTGTATAATCTATTGTTATTTTTAAAATTTAATATTTTCTCAGAGGGGAATATCTGATGCTATAAATTTTTGGCAGCTATTTTCTTTTGACGAAGAAAACAGAGCTTCAAAGATAAATTCGAAGCTTACCATTTCTTTGGTACTATTCGCAAAGATACCGAAAATTAAGTTTTGTTGTAATTTTCAGATTTCTTCTTCATACTGTTATTTCTATGGAATGCTGTAAAAAAAGTTTATAAGAATGTCCGCGGAAAATGACGGAAAAAATCAATCTCCACGTAAAATTGGCTTAAAGGTTAAATTTTATAATTTGAAGACTTTGTTGTAGAAACAGAAGATCTAGAAGAGGAAAAAACACTATAACAATAGAATGAATTAAATAGCAGTTTGATAATTGCTGTTGAACTGTCGTTTGATCGTTTTCGGTATCCTTAAAAAGCCATGTCATTATTTCAGCTTTGTTCTTACTAACAGTATTATTGATATTGGATAACATTTACGAAAGTGTGCCAAAATTTTAAGATTTCTGGAATTATTTTCTTTATCTCCCTTATACTATATAAAATCTTCATATAAATGTCATATACATCGTTCAGGATAAACTTCGAGCTGATCCAGGATTTCCAGTTACAGTTGTGTCAACAATGATTAGCTTTACCTTGTCAAATTCGTTTGTCTACGGTATTACGGGAAATCCACGTGCTGGTTTGTAAGTATCAACTGTTTTCATAAGAGAAACAGGACTTGATAAAGTTCCAAAAATTTCCAAGCTATCACTAATTGTGATGTCCATTAGTCTGATAAATGCAATGATTTAATTGATCATATTTTTATATAGTTTATTCATGGAGATGATAAAAGAGGAATAAGCTATCAGAATGTAAGTAGAATATTTATTATTATAGGCTTGCTGGTTTGATAATAATTCCATTTTGCCTTATAACAAATGTTCTGGATACGGAAAGGGATTATCAAATATGGAAGGAAACGGAACATATGAGAGCACGTGGTTTACCGTCGATATTATTTCCAAAAAAGGCAAAATACGATTGGAGTCATTATGAGCCATTGCGAAAAGAAATCGAGCAATTTTATAATCGTGATACGGAAAACAAACAAGAAGCCAGTTGATTTTTACTTCACCATTTCGGTAAACAATTCCAAAATCAGATCTTGTAACTGATCTTTGATCTTTGTACATGACGATTTATCTTTTGATTCTTTTAAAGTTATGATTAAATAAGTTGCCAATTAAAGTAAAATTTAACTCAGATCGAAATGTGATGCTATATTTAACTCGTTAAAATTCTGATAATTATAATAATATATTTGGTTGTTATCGCAGGTCAGTAATACAATACGAAGCTGCAAATATTACGCAGATTTTTTTATCATCATTTTTTCCATGTTAATATTGTTATAATTTGTGTTAAATTGATACTGAAATAGGTAATGAACGAGTTGAATGATTTAGCATAAATAAGGATTATTTATTATAAATTGCATATATTCCATTCTTATATGTTTTCTTTGTTTTCATCAAAATTGGTCCGGTACTTGAATACTTGATCGTGCTTCAAGAATTCAAATAAAATAATATTCGATTGAATCAGAAACTCATAGACAAATTCATAAGTCACATATTAATTGCCAAATTATGGCCATTATCCGTCCGTTTTCCTTTAAAGGATCGGCCGATTTTCCATTTTAATGTTAATTTTTTTGATTTATATCGAGAAAAGTTTACAATTTTAACTTTATTGTTATTTTTTTATCATGAACTTTGTTTTGTCATACTCAACGAATCATTATGAAGAATTAATCTTATCTGGCGAAAAAATTTAGTGAAAAACATCGTACAATGTTGTTCACGATTGAAATATATTTTTCAGGAATTCTCGATATGAATTTTGCTAACTTCGTTTAGCTTACGGAAATTTTTGTATGTCTAGCCTTTTATTCTTTAACTCGCCCCGAGAATTATGCATCATTATGATCTCTCAAAATAATCCACTATTTGTTCTTGTGATCCGAACTCTACTGAGCATTGTAAATTAATTGTTAAACTGCTAATTGAATAAAAAGGAATTCATTTTACCATCATTGAATTTTCAATTCTTATATTTCCTTGTTTATCTATTTTCGGATGGCCATTACTAACCGAAACAATATGATTGCCCAGCAAATGAAATATTAGATCTATTAGGAATATTCGGTAAGTTTTTTAACTTTCATTTATCAACCGAAAAATTTCTCACTGTTTGGAATCTCTCTTCTGGGCTACCTAGAATCTTTTTTTCGCTATCCAGAATTCCTTTCTTGCCATTTAGAATCCTTGTTTTTGCTATTCAGAATGCTTTCATTCGCTATTTGAAATTTTATTAAAACTTTGATGCTAATTTCAGATTTTTCCTTAATAAATTTTTTACTATAGTAATGGTTACATAAAAGTTAAAGGCAATTTGAAAATTTTCAAATTAAGAAAAGATTAAAAAAGAAAGGTAAGCTTAGTTAGCCTCACAGTTTTTCCTTCTTCTCTTTCATTTAAAATTTAAACGACAAAATAAATATATAGTTAGACTGATATACAACAGTAATGAGAAGGATAATTTTAGCAAAAATAAAATTG